TAATTAAATTATCTACAATCTCCAGTATTTAGAAAAAGCACAGGGTCGGCTTTGAAAAAAAAAACTTTTCAAACGTTTCGGCTCTATTCGATGAGATATTGAAGTTGGTCATCGCGCATACAGAGAGAAGGTGTTATACCCTATTAGAACTATAAATACCAAATTCAAAATTATAACTAAACAACTGATGTCACACAAAAGATTACTGTAAAAGCCATTGGGTTTTCCCAACCACATAATCATAATTGTATTCGTGTATCTTGCAATCGGAAAATTATTAACTGAATTTACTAAACATTAGTTTTGATTCCGTTTGTGTTGCAGAAATACATATATGCATACATAACGCGTGGATAATACACATTATATTCCAAGATTTTTTATACCCTGTACCCGTAGGGTAAAAAGGGTATATTAGGTTTGTGCAAAGTATGTAACATACAGAAGGAAGCATCTCCGACCCCATAAAGTATATATATTCTTGATCAGCATGACGAGAGAAATCGATCTAGACATGTCCGTCCGTCTGTCCGTCCGTCTGTCCGTCCGTCTGTCCGTCTGGATGAACGCGAGGATCTCAGAAACTATAAAAGCTAGAATAACCAAAGTTGGCATCTAGATTCTCCTAGGTCCGAGTAAGGACGAGTTTATTTTTTTTTTTTTAATTTTCCCCCCCTTCCCCCGCTGCAGAATTTCGTCAATAGCGTCCACATTTCAAATGCTACCTAAACCAAACTTTGCACACATAATTTATATATAATTGTCTACTGTTGTTCAAAATTTTATTCAATTCGGTCAATTCTAAGAAAAGTTATTAGCGAAACAAATTCTCGCCAGTACAACCCCACCAAACTGCAGCAACAAGTTCGCTCTTCTTCTTCCTCTTTTTGCTGCTGCTATGGGCACATATCAGTGACGGAAGTTTACCTGGGTACAGGGTATTACACTGTCGGGCTTGCTCGACTGTAGCGTTCTCTCTTGTTTTATTTTAAGCTATAAATAATAAGAATTTATGGAAGTGGAAAACTTAATATAAATTCCCGACTTTTAAATACTATGTAAATATGTGTACAATATCTATAGAATTTTAAGAAAATTAAAAAAATACAAAAATTTATTTAACGAATTTTCCTCTATTCACGGCAAAGGTGCGTTCAATGCCTAAAACTCATTATCTTACAATTAAACATGCGTTAAATAAAACAATCCTAACTACAAATTTTCCAAAGGAAATTATGTAACGTCACGTCAGATAATAATTCAAATTTAAAAAAAAAGAAAGGAATGCTAATGTGGAGTCAACTCTTAAATACCCTGTAACTCCCACCTCCTTTTTTTGTAACGTCACCTCAGGACCTATTTTGGATTATATTTTAAAAACTTGAAGATCGAATTCTATAATTTTCTACGGCATATAGTGCAATGAGTAGTTTAATCACAAAAGTATGAAACAAACTTTTTAAAAATTTTACTTTTCATTTATTTATTTAAATGTCACATCACGTCAGATTGGAAATGCCCATATATCCCTTTTGGTCAAGGTGTGTAGGTGAAGTATAAAAACTTCTTGCGATTCAATTTAATGCAAATTCCAAGATACAATATTCAAAGGGTAAAATATGCCACGAGGCGTGAACTGAATTTTCACAGGGCTTGCGGGCAGTAACAACTAGAGGTTCAACAACTATAACTGATGTAAGTATGTGCAGCTGCATCAGCAGCAGGGAAATGATGAAACAAAAACAAGTCCATCATTATCATTACTACAGCAATAACATAGGTGGAAGAAGCAGCAACCCTGTTGCCTTGCACCAATGAGCAAATTAATGAATTTATTTCATTTCATTTTTGTCGTCTGCATTGGGCCCAGCACACTCAATTTTTTGCCAGCGCTGTCGCAGCAACATAAGTAAAACAAAGATAAAATTTAATCATTGGCCTGGGGAAGGCGGTCGGTGCAGACAAGGCGGGTATACGCCGCGGTAATTGCGTCAAGATCGTCCAATGGGACTTAATTGTGGAGTAAAAGTGGTGCCATTGACTTCGATGACTGAACTGAACTAGAGTTGTATATTATTATTATTGTTACTGTTGTTGCTGCTACGATCTGGATCAAATGCAAGCGATTTCCTGTGTACAGTTTTCACTTGGCGAAACTTTTTGAACGCCTCCTACCTAAAGTTTCGACGTTTGTTTGCTTTAGTTTGTGTTTAGTTAACGTCGCTGCTAAAAGTTGACAAATTCACTTACAAAATGAACTTTGGCTTTGGGTTGAGCGAGTTAAACGAAGTTTGGTGGCGTGAGCCTTTAAGCCAGCAAAACGGCACTTACTATTGAAATATGACTAATCAGAATGTTCTGTCATGCAAATGCAATTTGTTTGATTATAATACCTAGAAGGATCAACTCGCTCAAATACTATTTTGACCCACTGTTGTGCAGCATGAACGTCGCCGTAAACCTTGATGCTGAGCATAGCTCCACTGCAAGTGATGTCACTTTTTGTGAGTCTGAAATATTTATTTGCGTGGAATAACTCATAACTTGAAAATCGCAAAAAAAAAACAAGAGAGAACGCTACAGTCGAGCAAGCCCGACAGTGTAATACCCTGTACCCAGTTAAACTTCCGTCACTGAGTTATATGCGCCCAAAGCAGCAGTTTGGGGGGGTTGTACTGGCGAGAATTTGTTTCGCTAATAACTTTTCTTAGAATTGACAGAATTGAATAAAATTTTAAACAACAGTAGATAATTATTTATAAATTATGTGTGCAAAGTTTGGTTTAGGTAGCATTTGAAATGTGGACGCTATTGACGAAATTCTGTAGCGCGGGAAGGGAGGGGGGGGGGGGGGGGGGGGAATTCCAAAAAATAAAATAAACTCGTCGTTACTCGGATCTAGGAGAATCTGGATGCCGACTTTGGTTATTCTAGCTTTTATAGTTTCTGAGATCCTCGCGTTCATCCAGACGGACAGACGGACGGACATGTCTAGATCGATTTCTCTCGTCATGCTGATCAAGAATATATATACTTTATGGGGTCGGAGATGCTTCCTTCTGCATGTTACATACTTTGCACAAACCTAATATACCCTTTTTACCCTACGGGTACAGGGTATAAAAAATAAACTCGTCCTTACTCGGACCTAGGAGAATCTGGGTGCCAACTTTGGTTATTCTAGCTTTTATAGTTTCTGAGATCCTTGCGTTCACCCAGACGGACAGACGGACAGACAGACGGACGGACATGTCTAGATCGATTTCTCTCGTCATGCTGATCAAGAATATATATACTTTATGGGGTCGGAGATGCTTCCTTCTGGATGTTACATACTTTGCACAATCCTAATATACCCTTTTTACCCTACGGGTACAGGGTATAACAAGAGAGAATGCTACAGTCGAGCAAGCCCGACAGTGTAATACCCTGTACCCAGGTAAACTTCCGTCACTGAGTTATATGCGCCCAAAGCAGCAGCAAAAAAAGGAAGAAGAAGAAGAGAAGGGGGTTGTACTGGCGAGAATTTGTTTTGCTAATAACTTTTCTTAGAATTGACCGAATTGAATAAAATTTCGAACAACAGTAGACAATTATATTGCAATTAGTATACAAAATTATGTGTGCAAAATTTGGTTTAGGTAGCATTTGAAATGTGGACGCTATTGACGAAATTCTGTAGCGGGGGAAGGGGGGGAAAGTTCCAAAAAATAAAATAAACTCGTCCTTTCTCGGACCTTGGAGAATCTGGATGCCAACTTTAGTTATTCTAGCTTTTATAGTTTCTGAGATCCTTGCGTTCATCCAGACGGACAGACAGATGGACGGACAGACGGACGGACATGTCTAGATCGATTTCTCTCGTCATGCTGATTCAGAATATATACACTTTATGGGGTCGGAGATGCTTCCTTCTGCATGTTACATACTTTGCACAAACCTAATATACCCTTTTTGCCCTACGGGTAAAGGGTATAAAAAATATGCTTCCAAACTAAAGAGCAATTGACTGCGTGTGGCTTTCAAGACGAACCAATTTCACCAATATTTCTCATACGCAGCGTTTTGAAACAATTAATCGCCTACTTCTCTTTAGAAACGGACACAGCGTTACAATTTGAGCAACGTCGTTTTGTAAGATGTCAATGGAACACAATCATTTATTTTTACTCGGAAAAATACATAAAAGTAACCGTTAAAGAATTGTCCTCACTGCCATCGTGTAGGTCTGATTTAGTCCCCAATGACTTTTTGTGCGAACTATGAAAAACAGAAGTGGGAAAATTTATTTGAAAGTTGGAAGTGGACTGATCTTCATGGAGAATCGTTTGAAAACCCATAAATCCAATTTGATTACCAATTAATTGTCACACGCTTTCATTGAATTATATTATAGAATAATTCTGTTTTTGTGATCAAAAGGATGCATTGCAGAACCGACAATTTGTATATTCTTAATCAGTATAAACGCAAATATGGAAACCAATCTTGGAAAACATTTATTTACTGCATTTTTGATGTTCGTTGTTTTTGTTTCTACTATAAGACCTCATTTTGTAATGGCAACACCACACCTGTAACGAAAAAGTCAACAGTAAGTTTGCTTTAATGTGGTCGCCACGAGTTGCCATAGCCCGTGGCACGCGCACAACAGCCAGCCTCTGTCTACACGCCCTCGTACACAAGTACGTACATGAACAGCACACTAAATAATTGAATTTCGTGCAGGTCGGGTGCAATAAAAGCACATGTGAACAACAACCCGAAGCCGGCCGGTGAAAAGCCAACAATTGACCCAGACACACCCCCCATGTATTCGTCGCCCACCCGTGACCAAGCAGTCTCTCAGTATATACTATAAATCAGATTTTGCAATTAAGCTTCATTGAAATGCAAGCATAAAATTTAAATTTATTTTACGAACACGACGGTCAAACGACTGTTTTAACCAAAGCGCCAGCCCATTGCTGCGACACCCAGCTGGTTAATGGTGCACTCACCTTTCTACGTCCACAACAAAGCATTCTTCGCACACGCGAATTTCCGGTAGCTGCTTTCAATCGAGTAAACTTCTTCTTCCACTGCATTTAGTAGTGGTCCTTCTGGGGATACTGGTCCAGTTGGGGCATTTGGGCCCGGCTGCCACGGCTGCTGCTATCACTGAGCTGCTTCTTCCACTGCTCCTAAGTGGTCCGCACCCGTCTTGGCTGGCCGCTGAATTTTAATGTAGTGGATCGCTTGATAGATATACGTGTATACTACGTATTTCTTCTATCAGTAGGGTCACTTTCTTCGCATTGGCAGGGCGTGATTAGCAGCTCATTTGGATTCCACGTGGTTGAGGTGCAGCTTAATTTACAAAATGTTTTTGGCGTTGTATATAAAAATGTTGAAGGTCGAAAACTTCGTTGCTCGTGTAAAGTGCTCTGCAAAGAGAAAAAATGCACAGAAAAGAAAACCATGAATGCATTATGCTGTCAACAAAAATGCGGCCTGTCAAGTACTTATTTATTGCTACTTAATTATCAACAGGCTCACAGCGCTGCACATATGTATACGCACGCACATTCAACTAAGTATACTTGTACACACACATAGAGTTGGTATATGATGGTATATGACGACGAGCCACTTTGGTTGACACGTGTCATCTGCTTATGCCCCCGCCAGAGTACCTAAGATAGCCGCCATTTTTCAAAAATTATATATATATATATATATATATATATATATATTAAATAAATTATCAACTATATATAAATATATAAATATATATATATATATATATATATATATATATATATATATATATATATATATATATATATATATATATATATATTTCCCATCTGCATTCTGGATTCATAGTAATAGAACTAAACAGATTCAGTTCTTTCAACATAACATGTAAGCTTTTGTTGTTGTTGCTGCTTTGGTTCAACTTTATGCTGCATACATACACGCATATAAACACGCATAGGTACGTGATGTAAATGTATGCTGTTAAAACTGAACATAAACATGTACTCTAAATTAAAGTAATTAATTAATTCATTCATTTTTTTTAATTTAATTTTTAAAAAATTTTTTTTTTTTAATTTTCCTTTTTTGTGGAGAGTACAGGCTATTTTAATGTCGGGCTTGCTCGACTGTAGCGTTCTCTCTAGTTTCAATTCGGTCAATTCTAAGAGAAGTTATTAGCGAAACAAATGCTCTCCAGTGCAACCCCCCAAAACTGCAGCAACAAGTTCGCTCTTCTTCTTCCTCTTTTTGCTGCTGCTGCTTTGGGCGCATATAACTCAGTGACGGAAGTTTATCTGGGTACAGGGTATTACACTGTCGGGCTTGCTCGACTGTAGCGTTCTCTCTTGTTAAAGTCAAAGCAGCCGCAACAACAACAACAGACCATGAGCAGAGATTACATGTATGACTATAACTTCTGTTAGAATTGACCTATCACGATGAATATTGATAAGAGGACAGATAAGCAGTAGCCGATTGTCCAATTTGAGTAGATATTTTGAGGAACAACGCCAGTTAGATTATTATAGCTTACATAGCTTTGCTGACATCCTTGCGCTTAGACGGACCTGACTATGTCGACTAGTCTTGACACTACGATCATACTGATTACCCATTGGGTACTGGGTGTAAAAATTCGCATTTTAACAATAATGTAACTTAAACTTAGTTTGAAATTTAATTACTGTACAAAGTTTGGGTTTTTTAAAAACGCATTCCGAAAATTTGATTTGAAAACCAATTTTCCTTACTACACAATTGTTAATAGATTGAAATAATGTAGCTAAGAAAATTATGGTATTGTAATAGGCTGTTGAATATATTATTTAAATATATTTAAAAAAAAGATATTTAAGCAAATTTTCTAAATTACTATTTTCTTGCTGAGTGTTGCAAAATAAATCAGTAAAGTATCTAACAATCAAATCAAAATAAATGTCATGTACAATAATTAAAGCTGAGCTGTTGTCATATGCTTTTCTATTCCGCAGGGCTCCCGTGGCACCGTCATTTAAAAACATCCTCATCGTACGTCTGGCAATTATTGTCCTACCAAGTGGCAAGCGTCCTTATTGTTGATACTTTTTTAATTCCTGCTCATATTACTCATCGTTGTCGTTACTATTGCCGCTTTTGCACACAAGCTACATAACAAAAGGCAGGCTATAAGAACCGGCCACTTTTAATGAATGTAGATATAATTTCTAATTAAATAGCATTTATTGTTGCATAGCAATTGGCTTACACACATAGAGAGACTACTCCAAGAGTATACAAGAAACATGCAGTGTTTACATTTCAAGAAGCAGCTGAAAATGTGTACAACTGTTTATACTCGTATGCATTAGTTTAAGCTGTGCAACTTGGTCTAAATTGAAAAATATGTTTAAAAAAGAAGCATATTACTATTGTCTTGCCTAACACGAGGTTTTCTAGGAACGCAACCCCCATGTTAAGCGAGAGGTAGGTCTTTGGTGTCTCCAACCACAACTCATTAAGTTGCTCAACGCAGCATTGCAGTCTTCATTTTTCCGTCTGAACAACTAGAAGCATATCCAAATCCCCCTTTTAATTTTTATACCCTGTACCCGTAGGGTAAAAAGGGTATATTAGGTTTGTGCAAAGTATGTAACATGCAGAAGGAAGCATCTCCGACCCCATAAAGTATATATATTCTGAATCAGCATGACGAGAGAAATCGATCTAGACATGTCCGTCCGTCCGTCCGTCTGTCCGTCTGGATGAACGCGAGGATCTCAGAAACTATAAAAGCTAGAATAACCAAAGTTGGCATCCAGATTCTCCAAGGTCCGAGAAAGGACGAGTTTATTTTATTTTTTGGAATTTTCCCCCCCTTCCCCCGCTACAGAATTTCGTCAATAGCGTCCACATTTCAAATGCTACCTAAACCAAACTTTGCACACATAATTTATATACTGTTGCTCAAAATTTTATTCAATTCGGTCAATTCTAAGAAAAGTTATTAGCGAAACAAATTCTCGCCAGTACAACCCCCCCAAACTGCAGCAACAAGTTCGCTCTTCTTCTTCCTCTTTTTGCTGCTGCTATGGGTGCATATAACTCAGTGACGGAAGTTTACCTGGGTACAGGGTATAACACTGTCGGGCTTGCTCGACTGTAGCGTTCTCTCTTGTTTTATACTCTGTACATGAAATGTACAGAAGTATATTAGGTTTGCGGGAGCTGAAAAATGTAACAGGCAGAAGGAGGCGTGGCAGACCCCACAAAGTATATATATTATTGATCAGCATGACGAGACGAGTCGATCTAGCCCTGTCTGTATGTCTGTCCGCCTGTCCGTCCGTATGAACACCTGGATCTCAGAGACTATAAGAGATAGAGACACCAAAAAGATGCCTTATGTGTGTATTCTATACGAGTTTGTTTTATTTTTTTGATTTCCCTCCCCCACTTCCCCCCTATGGGGGATTTTCCGATTTTCCATTCGTATAATCGCCTATATCTCGGAGACTATAAGACCTAGGAACACCAAATTTTAGTCCCAGGTGCTTTATGTGAATACGCAGAAAATGTATATTTTGGAATTTCCCTCCCTCCCCCCTCTAACCCGCAAATCGTAACTCCCGTAATTCTTGGAATTTCGAACTAAAAAAACTAAAATGGAAATACCCCCAGTTGGTTATTATGTGTCCGTATGCCAAATTTCACTATGATAGACCGATTTAACGAGAAGTTATAGCCATAAATATATTTTCTGCTGCGAAAATGCTTACACAGACACGAATAGATGCGAATAGGCATACATACACTCACACAGACGCAATTGCTATGTAAATGTGCAATTATAAACCCTTTACGTGAGTTCAAATACCGAGAAAGGTAAAATCGATAAAATTTTTTTTTTATTTTCTTAATTTTTTTTATTTTCTATAATTATTGTAAACATATGTACAGAGTATTTCAAAGTCGGGACACCCGACTTTAGCTTTTTTACTTGTTTCAGATTACAACGGACAAATTCTGCTGCCGCAATTTACAGCTGTAACAAACTCATCAAAGATTCGGTGTGTTCCAAAAGAATTTTCAAGTCTGATCGTACCTTTAGGCATTGGATATATTTGAATTAAAGTTATTTGCGGGATTTGAAGCTATTGACTGTTTTACTATCTGCACGACTATTTTCTTAAATGTTTAGAGACGACCTACAACAACAGTGCGAGAATAATAATATTACAAACAGCAGCAATAGTTCCACATCAGCCGTAGTCATCACGATCACGACAATGAAAAATCAACGCTAAAGAATTTTTAATTAAGTGCTAAAAGGAGAGGCAGGGCAAGTGTTAGGAAGCCACGTGGGCGACCATCGCCAGAGCACCAGCTGCAAGCGGTTACACAAGCACACACGTCCACTTTCAATTCACATAGCCGTCATCGTCATCATGGTGGCCACGTACCACGAACTGTGCCACTGGAATAAAAGAGCACGTTTTTCAACCGTGCACCCCGGACAGGGCCGGATGAATAGATGGCTGGTAGCTGGCGGGCTTCGCTGGCATGTTGCCCCTATTTCCGTTCGCGCTGAGATTTTGTTGCCATAAAACACTTTGCCCTGCTTCGTTTCTGGTGCAAGTATCGGGCGGCGACCAATGCCAGTAATTGCAATGAAAAATTTTACAATCGTGAACACGTCATTTAAATGGGTTTGCATGAATGTTGGCTGGTACATACTATATGTATGTACATACTGGGCAAGTAAAGCTGTGACTATGGCTACTGCTGCTGTTGCATGTTGCAGCTCTATGCACTACCACTACTAGAGGCTGTGCCATCTCCTTCTTCAATGAACTTGTGACACATACAAAGTTACGCTGCCCCCGTCGCTATGCAACAGAAAATTTATTCATAATTTTTCCCAAAGAGTAGCTGTTCGTTCGTTCATGTGTGTGCGTGCGCGTGTGTATGTTAGTGCCAGAAGCGACAGCGACATGCAACTACAAGATACTTTGTGTCACAGCAACATCAAGAACAGCCCCTGCAACAAAGTGTAGCAATCAGCTAAGAAAAATGACATCGGATGTTTATGAACGAAGAACGAAGAGAACGAACAAGAAGCTTGATTTCGATAACGCTGGCACCGGCACCGCCTCCATCGATGCCAGAGCGTACAGAACAGTGACTGAATGTTGCCTACGCACGCATAAAATGTATTATGACATCATAAATTCGACTGGCTATGACGTTTTTGTTTTTCGTGTTACACACATACTTAAACATACATACATACGATCATGCTGTTGCCCAAATAAGCGACAGGGCATTGAGCCAGCCATTTTGATAGCATCGACTAACATGTACAAATTATTTATCATGTTAATAATAAGAAACGGAGACTTATGAAAAAACTAAAGGGAGCCTAGGGTAGCGACTACTTGAAGCTTGAGAATTAAGGGAGCCGCAATACAAAAATATTATATCCTCCCTGGCCAGATCACAATTCTCACAAAATTTATCAATCGCCTTTAAATCGGACAGGCCCAGAAGTCTACAGCCTTATAGCTTAGTGCAAGCCACTTACCACCCACAGACTACAATGATTATGGCTATTAGAGGTGCCAGAAATAACACATGGCTATGTAATTGTGTTTATAGCCTGTGCCCAAACGGTAAAAGGCTATACTACTTTATTTATAGTTCTTTGTTTCATAATTACAGCACATTTTTCTTAGTATTGTCCTTATATATATATATGTATATTCGTTTCCCAATACATTGAATTATTGATTTTATGTGATTTTAGCGCTATTTGAAACGTCCATATTAGCGTTAAAGCTAATAATGCTATTATTAATAGCCGTAACCATTCTGAAGATATGTTCTTCTAACTTTTCTCGTTTTCCCATGCTAGTTTTTCTACCAATTGGAGAACACCTTTTAACTATGTATTTAATTTGTAACATAGTGGAGAGGTAGGTGACCGAAGACTTTAATTCTCTGAATATAACAGAAGAATAATAAATAATTTTTGTAAATTGTGCATTATTGCGGCTTATATATTTCTGCTAAATGGCCGTGTACGGGTTTTATTACATTTTAGTTGTTACTGACTACAAGTATATACGAATGATAGAACTCTGAATCTATTAAGCCTTGCACGTCTGTCCTCTTGCATAAAGAAGGAAAATTAGGCTAAATAGACGATTTTGTTGGCCGAATTTAGAATCTTTTAGCTTTTTAATGCTAATATACAGCATATAGCTATACATACTCATACATACATATGTATGTCTTACGGTAATCAGGTTTCAGAATATTGGGAAAAATGGGATATAGTAGTTTACAGCCACTTTATAATACTTATCAAAGGTAAATATCAGCTGAGTTTGACGATCCCGCCGTTATTAGTGATTTTCTTCATGTCATTGTGATCGATCAACTAAAAAGCTAATTATAGTCCTAAATAAAATCTCTGCCCATGCTCTAGTTGTTATTTTTGCTGATTAGACACAACACCGCTGAACTAGAATATCGATTTTGTATGTCTTACATACATATTATTTGTTTAATTATGTACTTATACATATGTATTTTATTACTTTGAATTTTCAAAATCTATACTATCATTCCATAGTACAGTTTGCAACAGCACTTACCTGCGCTTTTGTATTGACTGCTGAGTTGTGGCGTTTTGCGTTGCAAATGCTGACACCCAATGTGGTCTAAGCCACCAATGAGATGCCGTTATCAAAACATGAAATCGCAGGTGCAGCGGCAGCAATGTCCTCCAGCAGTAAAAATGAAGTGAGCTTGCTACTCCGTCCCAACTCTTGGTATAGCATGTGATTTCGGTTCGATTTGTTTTAATTTCCGTCGCAGCATCAACGATGCAGTGTTTCCGGCGTAGTGGCACAAAAGCTGGAACGGGCGCTTCGGCAGTGAGAATGGTGATAACAACGAGGGCGACTCTTCAATTTAATAAAATGCGAGGTGAGGGGACACGAAGCGGTAGGACTACGTTGTTCCTATTGCTATTTGTGCTACTGTCGAAAACGATAGAGATAATTTGCTTTTTCGGTGGTCAATGACACGAGGATGCAGAGGCATTACGGCACTTCAATTTTGCACTACTTGAGCTCGGAGCATTTTTCTTTTCCTTTTCACATTTTGCACGCATCGCTGCGGCATTTTTTGCGTAACTTGTGAGCTTTTGCACATTGCACAGTAAATTTCAACATATTCGCGAGTAAATTCTGCAAATTTTCCAATCACATAACAAGCACGATTAGCGAAAAAATGTCATTTTGTGGCCGTTAATTGATTTTTGCGTGTGTGTGTATTTTATATGTATACAGATGTATGTGTGTGTGCGCGAATGCGTTTTAATGTATGTACACATGTACACAACTGCGTGTGAGCTTGTGGGAGCGAGCAAGCAACGGAATGCGTCCGAATGGCAGTGAAGAGCTTTTGCTTATGAGCTGAAATGGCTCTGTTTTACTACGACAACGATGACGACGGCCGAAACGCTTTTGGCCTCAATATGCGAATTTCCGTTAACGTTACTCCTACGTTGCCTGCTTATAAGCAGCTCATAGGACGCAAGTTTGTGTGAGTGTTCGAATTTCAGTATAATAAAATATCCTGTTTGGTGTCCTGCTACAAACTCAGAGCGCACACGCACTGCGCAGGCTCTGTAAATTTAGAGCAAATGCCTGCTGCTGCTGGGGCGGCAGCGATAGCAATTGAATCGACAAACACCCCCGTCGCACTACTTTGCTTTTTTCTACACTGCTGAATCTGCGGATTGGCTAGTTGCCCGTTTACGTGTTTTGTTTGCCCGTAGTTTATATAAAGAAAAAGTTTTGACGTTACAATTGCAGGTTATATTTGACTTGTTTGAACTCGCTTAATAACAAATCTCTGCTCCTGCACTAATTTTGCACTATACTTTATTTCTACTATAACGACCAGCAAGACTCACTCGCAATGAAAGATGAGAACGAAGTGCATTAAGTAAAAAGTGGTAGCCGACACTACTACCGTTGCACGACACCGCACAGGCGCAAACCTACTAATTTGTTTCATATGGCAACGCTGCTTAACGAACTAGCTCCATACTGAACCTAACCGGCCAAGCGATGATGGCTCGTGCTTTCCATGTTACCATATCGTTGCTTCCATCTCTACCTCGAATTAAGCATGTTCCAGCACATAATACTGGTATTCCCGCCACTAAATCAGTTGACTGAACGAACATTTTAAAAAAGGAATTCCGCAAGAAAGCTTTAAAAACCTATTAATTAAAACCAAGGGCGTAGGCAGCTTTTACCAAAGGGCGGGCCAAAAAATTAAAATTTTGATTAAATAATGTTCGATGCATTTAAAAAATAACTTATGCATATGATCAATGAAGAAACTTCAACAAATCCAACTCAGATCCATTTTAAGGCGAAATAGTGCGTCATAATAATGAACATGTGGTCGACTTTATATGGCAAAATTTTTTCTAGGGGTGGTGTTGCAAACATCGGCAAGAAAAACATCGATAGCAGAAATACCTCAAGATTTTAAAATATCGATATTCCGACAAGAATTTCATTTATTTCCTAAGAATTGAATTTTTCAATAAAAAATAATGATTTTGCACAGTAGAAAATTGTACAGATATGCAAGTGAGTCTGCCTTACTGCAATAAAATGGAAATCTAAATTTTCTCATATCCACAGCGAACCTCTGCAGCGGTTATGCGACCACTGCAAACTTTTCATCGAGTGCAGCTCATTGCACTCAGCAGCAACCCAAAACGGCCATACTCATGCTCAACATGGGAGGGCCGCAGCATACCGATCAAGTACACGACTACCTGTTGCGCATTATGACCGACCGTGATATGATTCAGCTGCCGATGCAAAGCAGATTGGGGCCCTGGATAGCGCAACGCCGGACGCCTGAGGTGCAGAAAAAGTACAAGGAAATCGGAGGGGGCTCGCCTATCCTCAAATGGACAAAATTGCAGGGTCAGTTGATGTGCGAGGAACTAGACAAAATATCTCCAGAGACGGCACCTCATAAGCACTATGTCGGCTTTCGGTATATGTTTAAAGTTATTATTCAGTGTCGCGCAAAAACTAAATAAGTCCTGCCATCCAGTTATGTTACTCCACTGACTGAGGATACTCTGGTACAAATCGAAAACGACAAGCCCGAGCGCGTGGTTCTCTTCTCACAGTATCCGCAATATAGTTGCGCCACTTCCGGCTCTAGCTTCAACTCCATTTTCACTCACTACCGACAGAAGTGAGTAAACTCGTTTAACTGGGATAATCGGCCATAACAAATTCGTTCATATTAGCACCTTGCCAGACAACATAAAATGGAGTATTATTGACCGCTGGGGCACACATCCGCTGCTGGTAAAGACCTTTGCACAACGCATCCGAGAAGAGCTGGCTAAGTTTGTGGAGACGAAGCGCAACGATGTGGTCATACTCTTCACGGCACACTCTTTACCCCTGAAAGCCGTCAATAGAGGTGATCCTTATCCTTCGGAAATAGGTGCTACCGTGCACATGGTTATGCAGGAGCTGAGACAAAGTAACCCCTACAGCTTGGCCTGGCAGTCGAAAGTCGGTCCCTTGCCTTGGCTCGCGCCAGCGACAGATGACGCTATTAAGGTGATTGTGCCCTTCATTATTATGTCTTCGTGTTTGTAAATACAGCTAAATTTTCTTTTGCTACGTGAAGGGATACGTAAAACAGGGCCGCAAAAATTTTATACTCGTGCCCATTGCCTTTGTGAATGAACACATTGAAACGCTGCATGAACTGGACATTGAGTACTGCGACGAGTTGGCCAAAGAGCTAGGTGTAGAGGAAATGCGGCGGGCTGCAGCACCAAACGATCATCCACTATTTATTAATGCATTGAGCAGCATTGTGGCGGAGCATCTGCGAGCCGAGCAGCCGGTCAATCCCAAGTTTCTGATGCGATGTCCTATGTGTGTCAACTCACGTTGTCGCGACAGTAAACGCTGGTACCAGCAGATATGCAGCCAATAGAAATTAATCGCCTTTTTGCATTCACCGAGTGCACCTTCGCAATTTCAACTGGTTTAATTGTAAGCTATATATGATACATATGTACGCACGCTCATCGATAGGTTCTGCGGTTTCTTGGGTTGGGGGAATTTCACTTCATAAACATAAACAACAAATATAGTACTTGCTACTGCAGACTCTCTTAGTGTGCCATCTCTTTACTTCATTGTTTCTCTCTCGCATGTTTTTTTTTAGGCCACACGTGCGACGCGCTCTTTCAATACAACCAATCAGCTGTTCCGGCTGGCAAATGTTTAACAATACATGGTTTATGGGGCTTGCGTCGGCCGCCAATTAGTCGGAATCATTCAAATGGCCCGTGGAATTGGAAGGCGCTGCATGTGTGAAAACCCGTGTGTGTTGCATTTGTCGGTTGTGCTTCAAGTTGTTGTTGCATAACAACTGCCAACTTTAACGCATAACATACGACATTCGCGCTTCGTAGAAGACGCAACTGACAACTGAAGCAACAGGAGTGCCGCCAGGCTACCCCATTTTACAAACGGTCAGTTCGATTGAGGCGTTTGTCAATTAAGCCGCAATTGCTTCCAAATTGATTGGCAATTAATGCTATGATTTCAGAGTCGTTCATTTACTATTAACGCTCACTGTCCTGGTTAATGTTGCAGACGTAGCGCCTATCTAATCTCGAAATCGCTTATTGATCATAAATTTAGAGAAATCACCGCTCCGTCTAAAATGAGTAATTTCAACGCCGGCCAAACCTGCTGTAGCAATGAACGGTGTGTTGCAGTCTACGCCGTGATCCCAACGCTGGAAGACACCGGCACGAACTTTGACAGGTGTGTAATAGTGCGATCCCGTATGTGTTTTTACTAAATCATTGCGTGCAAAATACATGCATAAATATGTACATACATACATATTGTATGTATATGTACGTAAATAGATCTGAGGATGTAACTACATAAGTCGATTTGTTTATTTTCTTTCATAATTAATAACGTGACGTTTCTGAAATTTACAACTTATTGCTATCTTAGCGAACTGCAAATACGTGCATAGATCCCGTCAACGATTATCCAAGATAGTACTTCAGTCAAACGCTGAAGAACGGCACGCACCTGTCTAATTAGCCGATTAGATCCGATATCGCAATTGTATTTCAAGTACTTTCTTTCAATCTACGTATAAGTATATGCATGTATATTTGTAAACTTTAATAACAATATATGCAAGAAAAGATCTTGCCATAATACCGCTCTTAACTAAAGCATATCCGTGTCCGCTGGCAATAGAATCTAGTCTACATTGTCTGTATGTAAATTAAAATATGCCACGTATACTCGCATTCGCCGAATACCAGTGGTATTCCGGCTAGTGGTTTAGATTTTTAATCGATTTGTCCCGATAGCTGTTTACAGATTTCCCGTACAGATTACAAAGTGTGACCACACCGGCTTTGGAAAATGCGGTCATGGGTGATTCAAATTGTATTATTAGGATAGCCGTTTTTTCAGCAGAAAATAATTGACCATCACATTGATTTATTTACATTCAACAAGAAAAGTATTTCCGAGCAAATTATTATATATACTTTTTAAAATGGGCGTCCCGTCAACTGATGTATGTAGTTATATTAGTGTACAAACAATTCAAATTCGTCAAGTCCTAACAAGTTAATCTCATACACGTATATGTATATAACATAATAACCACTCAATATTGTTTACTTTAAGGCAAAAGAATTTGTAACTTTTACTCTAACAAAATTATGGACATATTTTTAAATAGCTAAGCTTAAACCTATTTATAAATGTAATTCTCCTAATTCCTATTGTCTAGCTTACAAATCCATAGAATCATAAATCATGTTTATTTCTCATCATCAACAGAAGACGTAAAACATCTCCCAACGAGCAACAGAGTGCATTACTAAGCTGGCGCCATATGGGCAAGAAAATGGAGGACAAGTTTGGAACTGCTCTTAAAAAACACAGCCTGATTGTTGATTTGCTTTCAATTTTTTTTGGTATTGGCACCTGGCTAGTCGTAAATGGCAGTTTCATACAACTGCCGTTGTTGGTGGAAGATGCACCGGAGGGCTGGAGTCTTCCATCCTATCTTAGTGTTATGGTCCAGATTGGAAACCTTGGACCGTTGCTATACACGGTTATACAAAAGTTTTCACCACACAAACTGAATGATGGCTTGACTATTCACGGAGTGCTGCTCATCGGCACCACCTCTTGCCTGCTCACGGCCTTCTTTTACAATAAGACGGCGAATGTGGCAGGATCAGAGCACAGTCTGGCACTCTTCATTCTGACAGTGTTTACGGCGATAAATGCCTGCACTAGTTCTGTACTGTTCATGCCTTACATGGGCAGGTTTAAGGAAAAGTATCTGGTGAGTTTGATCGGTACTGTAAGGTATTGTACCTTTTTTAGGGTTTAATAAAAAAATGCCTATATAATTGGATTTTTTGAAAATGCCCACTCGTTTTCAGGTGACTTATTTCATTGGTGAGGGGTGCAGCGGTCTTCTACCGAGTGTAGTGGCATTAGTGCAGGGCATCGGTGACATCCAGGAATGCGTACTGGTTAACGTGACAGAGACAGGCGAACCAATCTACGAGCGCCAAAAGTCACCACCGCTCTTCAGCACCGGGACATTCTTCCTCATACTTTTCGGACTGATGGTGCTCAGCTATATTGGATATATCCTGCTTAGCACACTGAAGTTAGCAAAAAGAGAATATGCTCAGGTCACAGTGTCAGAGGGCAATAAGTATGTCTACGACGCTGGTCAGCCAGATGGGACTACGAATGCCCCAAAAGACAGCAGTGTGGGACAACTAGTGGGTGTTCAGTATTGGAGTCTGCTCCTACTTATGGGAGTTATTTCATTTTTTAGCAACGGAATGTTCGGTAGCATTCAGTCATATTCTAGTGCGCCGTATGGTAGTCGCGCCTACCATTTGGCCGCAACATTAAGCGTCATTGCCAATCCAGTGGCCTGCTTCATGGCTATGTTCCTACATTTCACATCATTGCGGATCATATCAGTACTATCTGGACTTTCGGCATTGCTTACCTTCTATGTCTTCACTACTGCTGTTCTAAGTCCTTTCCCACCTTTACATGGCGAGACTATTGGAGAAGTACTAATTGTAAGTTTTAAAGACACATAAATTATATTGCTTAGATGTATGTATATTATTTTGTCTTTTTAGGTGATGACTTGGACACTGCTTGTTGGCCTGGTTAGCTATACAAAGCTTGGAATCACGACGATCATGCGCGCACAGGGGGGACAATCATTAGTCTGGGTCGGTGGCATTACTCAAATTGGCTCCGCGTTTGGATCGGTCTTGATTTTTTTTGTCATCAACTACACACGCACTTTTCAAGCAGCTCCATCTACTTGCTGACCATAGAATAATTTAGAGTAGGATTCTGAATAATGATGCGAATTGTGCAGTTTGATTCAATCATGGATTTTGTTGCATAGTCTACTAGCGTCTTGAATTTCAACTAGAATTTGTTGAATGTATTTTGTAAGCGTTTCTATAACTTAGAGTAATATATATGTAAGTACACGTAGATTCTTACATCTAGTGATTTATTGAATTCAAAAATATTTGTAGCGCAATAGTATTTTATATGTACACGAGTATATGTGTACCGCTTTTATACATCCAGATGATTAGAAAATATACAATGAATTATTGGATTAACGGATTACTTTTGTTGAAAAAAGTTTTCTAAATTAAATTTAATAAAAGTGATAGTCACCGGATTGTAACTGGAGTAGGGCAGGGCAGAATGCTGTGATTCATGTAGGGTTTCTATGTAATACATACATAGCGTTTTAAACAACTCATAGATTACTGTAAGTTGGGGATTTGAAATTGTGCGAACCTAACATTTTTGTTTACTCAAAAAGCTTCGCATTGCTGTTTCTAAAAACTATGCTTTCTTTGAGTAAATTATTTTTAAAGGCATTTACAATCTGATTAAATTTAGTTTTATCAGCGTCTGGCTTTTAATGGCACGTTCCCAGGAGCAGATAGTGAAGTTTTGAAAACATGCAAAGGTCACAGCCAAATTTGGCAAATACGGTACTGATAAATTTCTTTTCTTTTTTGGCCAAAAATTTTGTCACATTTCGCTCTTTTTTCCGATGTTATCGTAGTTAATAGAGCTGAATGGATGACTTGAAGCAAGTTCTCTACGTCACAAATGATAAATTGTAGATGTCATGCAAGTACATAAAACAAACAGCTATCGTTGATGGTATGTACTCGTTGTATGTATAGTTTATGGAACTGACAATTTATTGAACCTACGTACCGAACAGATTAGAGCATGGGAGAGTTTTAAAAGTTTTTAGGACCAGAAAAATTCTCTGTCAATTAAATCTTAATAGACTTTTCCGGTTGATCCAGCTCACTATCCACATCTCCTTCGTATCCTGACTGTCCCATGGAGTTGGTATGCGAAGGAGCTTGTTTGGGCTTAATTTCTGTTGCCGACTCATAGATTTCCTCCATGCTGGTGTTGCTGCTAAAGCAGGAGGCAAAGTGATGTGCGGTATTGTTTCCCTGCTCGGCCGCTTTGTTAAACATTTGGATCTTTTCACGCAGACTCAGGCTGTTACTACTGGCCTGCGGCGAAGGGTGCTGAGCATCGCCTGTGCCGAATTTTTCCAGAAATGTCTCGATTTGTTCGAAGGACTCTTTAGCACGATTAAAGAGAAGAAGACTCTCACCGAGTAGTTGACTCTGATTAAGACGTTCGAAGTCTCCGATAAGCTGACGCAAGTCACCAAGATCGCTTTGAGCCAGGCCAGTAGATTTGCTGGGACTTGCATTGCACGCTTGCGCACTCTCAAACTCGAGAATCAAACGCTTGATCTTCGTCATGCTCTGTGGACTTGATCCTTTCTGTTCACTGCTTTGGCCAAGCAACGAGGACACATCTCCGAGCTCTTTAATGATGCTCACCGAAGTTTGTATAGCCGAGCTGTGCTGCTGACACGTATCCTTCAGGCGATTGCGGAGATCGCTCAGATAGGTGCAAACGCGCACCGTACGCATCTGCTCGTCTTCTTCTCCAGACCGTTTAATAGGGTTGCTTTTGTCTTTACTATTGTTTGTGTCGGTCATTTTGAGTAAAAGGAGAAATGAAAAAATATTAAATTGAAAAGCCGAAAAAAAATGATTTGTACTTCATAAAATATTTTCTAATTAATGAAATTTTCAATGAGTTTAATATCAATGCTCTATTTGTGCAACTAAATATGATTCGCAGTCTGTGTTAAAGTTTAATGTTGCAACCTATTAATATAGGGTAATATTCCTCCTTTAATTAATTTACATTTCTTAATCAATTTAAACATGAGGGCAGATAAGCACTATCTGGTTGTATAAATCAACATCAATTTAGTAAAAAGAAATATGAAATCATTTTAAAAAATAATTGTTAAAAATTTTCAAAAAGCTTGTCTTTTTTAAATTTGTAATACATAGCAGTATTTAGAATATTTCAAAGTTTGCACATACATAAGTAAATCGTAACCGCATATAGTACATGCTAATCTCGTATATCTGTAGGTTTCGTCTGCAAAGGAAAGAACGTAAAAAACGTAAAAAATTTCGCCCCGTGCGAAACTATCCGTGCACCACTGTCTGCCGCTGCGGCAACGAGCGACAACAGCTGTTATTACGCTTCAGTCGTATACTTTTTGTTTTCATTTTGATTAAAGCATATTCCGATGATTAAACCAGTCGAGTAGCAGTGGAGAGTAGCAGTGAGAAAACCGCAGGAGTCGAGTGCTGAAAAAGCAAACAAATAGACAAGTTAAAGCGAAAAGCCATTGCAATCATCCAGTGCGTGGTAAACAAATGAAAACTGTATGCGTCTGAGCCTCGGATTTCCAATATAGTTTATTTAAAAAGACGCCAACGCCAGCAGAAAGCAAAAAATTATACATACGACGACTAATCGTTGACGAGGCGCAGCAGCAGAAACAGCGAGGGCGTAAGCGACAGCTACGAAATGTATACAATAGTGACGTTGAGTTGCTATTGGAACGGCCGGCTGCAGACGCGTTAGGGACTTAGACTCCTCTTCCTTCTCCTACTCCTCCATTTCGAGCATTTGGGCACTCCGACTGAGCGTGCCAGTGTATGCGGGGGCGTGGGCTAAAGATAATCATCGGGGTGGCAGCAACTGGAGTGCAGCAGCAACAGCATCAGCGGCGTTTACAAGTGCTCGGGACACCTTTTAGTAAACGGAAAACATCACCAATATGTCTTATATGACCACAAGGCACGCAACCAGCCTCAATCTGGACCTTGCGCTCGGCAGCCGTGAGTTGCATTTGCGCAGTCATCAGGCAAGCATTTTTCGACAGCGTCTGCATGTGGCTCAGAATCTCTACCAACGCAATATGACGGCACATTATGGCTGCGTGAATGCGTTGGAATTCAGCAATGGTGGGCAGTATTTGGCCTCAGGTGAGAAAGAAAATCGGAAACCTGTTGCGTCGTTATTTTATTTCATTCACAAATCCCTTCCGTTCTTGTGCAGGCGGGGATGATCGCCGGGTTCTGCTATGGCACGTAGATCAGGCGCTAGCCAATGTGGGTGAGCCGCGGGTCATGTGTGGCGAACATGCTAGCAATATTTTTTGCCTGGGTTTTGATACGCACAACTCCTATGTGTTTTCTGGGGGCAACGATGATCTGGTCATACAGCATGACCTTTCCACGTAAGTTCTGCTATGTTGGTTAACCATTTAACATTTGAACGAATTAAATTCTCTGAATTCTTCGCCGGAACAGTGGCAAAAGTGTTAACATATTCTCACATGATGGACCCGTTTATGGCCTCAGTGTCGACAAGACCAGCTCTAATTTGATCAGTGTAGCCACAGAGGATGGTGAAATCTTGGTATATGATTTGCGTGTGGGGGAGAATGACCCTCTGACCATTGCCAAATTTTCCGCACCCTTCAACGCTGTCGAATTTCACCCACTAAATGGAAACTTCCTGGCTACAGCCAATGCAAAGCGTGGCGCCATGCTCTGGGACATACGCCACCACACCCAGTAAGTTGGCTCATCATATACTTCTATTTAAATTTAACTGAGGTTTTTCTTCTTGGACCAGACCGCTTTACCAGTACAATTTTATACCAGAATCCCCAAGCTGTATGAGCGTCCGCTTTAATTGTAATGGCTCCTTGCTGCTGACACTGCATCGCCGATTACCACCTATTTTATTTAGTCCTAACTCAACGGAGCCACTGTGTACTTTCTATCACCATGAATATTTTAACTCGTGCACAATGAAAAGCTGCACCTTTGCTGGACCGGAAGATGAGCTGGTGGTATCGGGCTCGGATAATTTTAATATGTTTATTTGGCGACTCGATGGCGTAGACAGTAAGCTCTTGCTGGTTTTGTTTTATTCCCACATAGGCTATTAACGTTTGTATTTTTAAAGTGGAGCAAAAGGATCAATGGATAGATACTGCCCCAATAATACTTTCTGGTCATCGTTCAATCGTTAATCAGGTGCGATATAATCGTCAGCGCTGCCTACTAGCATCCTCCGGTGTAGAGAAAATAATTAAGGTAGGCAAGCAAGCCATCTGAAGCTGAAAACAAACTTCCAATTCTTGAGGTCCCTTCTTTTATGTTTAGCTCTGGAGCCCATTTGCGCAAGCGGGATGGCAGGGCTCCTTGCTGCAGAAGTCCGCTACACCATACTGCAATCGCACACTACACCGTAATGCTACAAACCACGTGTCACAGGACTTCAGTGCGCGCAATACAGACGAAGACGCCGTCATGCTTGCCTTCTTTGATACGCTGGTACAGCGGGAACTAGAGGTTTGGCAGACACCCAGTGCCAGTGGCCAAAGCAGTAGCGAAAGCTTGGCCACCTCCACAGAGAGTGACAGCAGCTCGCAATCTGAGGACACGCCCAACGTCAGCGAGCTCAGTTGGCAGGCGCATCCAAACCGCATTTTCTATCTGATAGCAAAAAAACGGCGTGCTCTATTGCATCTTGCGCTTAAATCCGCCAGCACGGGTGGCCATCTACCGCTGCGCGTCCGTGCCAAATCGCCGGTGACTACAGCAAATGTGGAGCAGCTGTTGGGCAGCCTCCTGGGGGGAAGCAGGCACTCGGCCATGCAAGCACGTGTCAGTGACTGGCTGGAGCAAACACATCGACTTATTGGCGATGATGAAATGCCAACTACGTCTGCGGAAGCGGCGGCGCGCGAACGCTCTCGAAGGGCGCTGTGGATCGAGGAGCGGGAGGACCAGGATGCCCCATCGTCGACTACTAACAGTTCCAATAAAACGCGCACGTTCCAAATGAGTAAGTAATAGAAGTACAGAAGTAAGTCTTGGCTTTCTACCTAAAATAGTCCCAGTTTTAAAAGCAACTTCACTACTAAATTTACGTAATAGGCATAATAGACCCATAGGCATATACAATGTAAGTGTGTATGTATGCATATGTATAATCACCATGATGAGACAAATCGAGGCGATAGCCTGTGCTTGTGAACACAAAGAAATTTTAAACAATAACAGCTTGGGACCCCAAACTAGTCTTTCCATACGCAGAGCACGTTTATTACAAAACATAGAACCGAACGGTGGAAAATCACTCGAAGTAGAAAGAATGACTTGTGTTTATTAAGATGTGTTTATGAAATTTTGTATTTGAAAGTTTTGTGATAATAGTATTCTGAAGTTATGTATATTAGAATTAGAAAATTCTTTGTTCATTGCGATATCACAACCAGGTTAGTATTTATACATAAGTGTTTGATAATGCTTCTCTAAAATCTGAACATTCATCAAAGTCGGTGCGCTATTTCGTATGCCATGTGAAGGACTGGTACAATCTGTCATTTGCTGTTACGCATGTTTCAGTTTTTTTTACGTTTACGTTGTGTCGTTACACTTTTACTAAAATCGTTGAATCAGATTCCTTTGAGCGAACTCGACCAGCTCCAAAGTTTTACTATATATAGAAGTAGCTAGTATAGTACTAATGAATTCCTGACCTTTTTCTGGTTCATTTGCGCCAATGATTCCAAAGCAGTTCTGTAGAGCACACTAACGCAGCCAGAACACATCCCAGGGCGAGCGCATAGAAAGCCAGCTGCACGTCGGTCAGCTTCAGAACCTTCCAATTTCCCACGCCCAGTGCGGCCAGGTACTCGGGAAATTTGTGTATGCTCCACTTCGCACGTTCCTTCATCTCGCCTGTCCACAGTTCAATGAGTCCAGCCGCGCAAGCACGAAGAACAACTGTGTTGACCATATCTAGGTAGGGCGAGTGGCGCTGTAATACATAGGCAATGTGATAATTCTTGGGACACTCGGGTATCTTGTGAATGCGATTGGTCATTATATAACGTATGTCGCTAAGCATAAGGCTTCCGGCACGAGTCACGCCTGAAAAACCTCCGCGATTCGCTACCATGCTTATTAATCGATCCTCGCCCTCGCCCACCAGAAGCATCTTGGCATGCAAGCTCTTGTATACGGCCGAGTCGTGACCAACAAAAAGATCATCCCTAAATGCAGGATGCTTAATGTAAATAGGCTGCTGCGATTCGTCAAGCTCCATGAGAGTATTGATGTCGCGATAGTATAATGGTCTAATATACACGGTGGCTAGACTTGATTCCAGCAGCGCGCCAAAGATAACGCTGACCAAGCAAAGCGAGGCGAGAAAAATGCGTTCCGAGTAAAAAGGCGGAAACTGGCCGACATTGACGCGCACCCACACCACCAAAGTATCGATAAAAATGCGCACCACAGTGCTTCGAAAGTTCTTCTGGTCCTGTCCAACTCCTACGATAGACTCAATGTTCAGTTCCAAATTTAGCCTGCGAATACATATCCAGACAAAAGCGCAAACGGGACCCACTAAAAGAAAACATAGCCACACATCCAACCGCACGGCAAAGAGTGGCAGTATTGACTGGGGAATCCGCTTGGCCTTTTGTACGAAAAGACAGAGCTCGTCCATGTACACGGCGGAGCTGAACTCGATACCGCGCGTTAGATAATCCTTAATGAAAAAGCCAGCGAATACAATGTCTAATTCGTGGCGGTGCACACGCCCAATAGCCCCACTAAAGGATCCGTTGTCCAAGCGGCCCCTGCATATTGGAAGTGAATTGCTCGTAAATTGATATTTAAAAAAAGAAGAAGGGAAATGACTGAATTGCACAAAGCACACTCACCCGAAGAACTCATCATCTGGCCACAAATAATTCAGCGTAAAGTTCATGCGGGCAGCCACCACACTGGCGAGCTTAGCATCGGCTCCCGATACGCTAAGTACGCGCTTGGCCTCCGCATCTCCATATACCGCCGAGTAGACCGAGTCAAAGATATAGCATCGCAAAGACTGGCCATACAAATTACGAAAGATGCGCGCATAGGCATCTGGCTCATCCGCTAACATAATAATGTGCTTAAAAGGATTATAAAGTAAGATGCGCGCCTCGGGTAGCACGTAGTAGATCCGATTGTGACCATGTTGTTGCCAGACTTTGAGCATAAACTGCAGCAAATCATCATCAGTCGTATCAAATAGCTCCAAAGCTAAAATATAAACGCCACCATAATTGACAAACTGTGGTAGGCTTTGACGCATTTGGGCTAAATTTGTAAAGAGCCAGAAGTGATGCCTTGCCTGCGAAGCAACTCCTTTACCGAATAGGCTCAGGACTATGGTGCAGTATGGCTGTCGCAGCAAAAATTGCACAAACATGTGTCCACAATCACGCAAACTGTGCACGTGCAGCTCCAAGACATCCGATCCGAACCGGCCCAGTATGGGCGCAAATGCATTGTCGAATTCGGAGTCCCAGCTATCGTTGTCGCTGTTCCTGATTATATCCTCTATTGTCACTTTTGCCTCGACACTAACGGCAGCCGCGAGCGTAAACACAATTAGCCAGAGGCTCGACCTCGACCACATTATATGCTCGACTGTGCGACTCCGTCGAGATTGAGCAGCCCCTTGTCGACACAGGGGCTGTATTTTTGTGCTCAAACAATAGCCACTTGACACCTGCTGGCCGATACATTCTATTTGCACAATGTCAATCGCGCTGACAGCCGATACTGCCAACAATGGGAAACCATAGACGCCCACTCACTAAGGTCCAGGAACAAAAGGAGAAGTAGACACAAGTTGAAAAGAGCCGGTTTGTAATCAACAATTATAATATATGTGTGTCTTTACTTAGCGCGCCCTTTCAATTTGCCACTCAAGCTTTCTGCTGTATGAGCTTGGCAAAAAAATTACCATATTAGTGCCTGCTTCGAAAACCTATGATATCACACTCTTCTGCAGCGCTATAGAGTTAATCTTTTATCCATTTTCTACTCGTTCAATTTGTATCTCAAACATATGGATGGATTGTGGCAACTTAACTGTTTTCATCTTCTAATTAAATGTTTAAAACATCGAATGATCCTGTAGGACCTATAAAATCGAGGTTAACATTTTAAAAATCTTAGAATCCACTTAAAAAGCTCACCTTGGCCTAAACTTAAGATCATTTATGTGAGATGCGATCCACGACAATGCGAGCTCTCACACATCGGTTCCGAACATTTATTAACTAAATACTACTAAGTAATGGGTCATCCGGCTTACAGGACAGATTTGACTTATTAGGTTTGCAGAAGGAGGGAGGCGTTAAAAAGTATATATACTCTTGATCAGCATGACAAGACGAGTCGATCTAGCCCTGTCTGTACGTCCGTGTTAACACATGAATTTCAGAGACTATGTAATTTTGTACACAGATGCCCTATGTGTGTACGCTATACGAGGACACCACATTTTACGGGTAACGAGATGGCGGACACTCTGGTAAAGGATTGGAAGAAAGCCTGTAACCCCTGACTCCTAACAAGCCCACTCACAGGTCACTGCTTGGTGCTTTCCCATGTCAAGAAGCTGGGCATCATAACAGAGGATAAATGCGGGAAATGCAAGGAACCGGAGGCGATCGAATCGCTGATACACCTCATATACCACTGTCCAACACTGGGTGATAACCCAGAGGGTTGTCTTTCTTAGGAAGCCCATCACTAAAGACCTACTGATATCAGAGACGTTGTGAGTTGGTGCAGCAATAGCAGCAGAAATGCTGTAGTATTTTTATACCCTGTACCCAAAGGGTACAAGGGTATATTAGTTTTGTGCGAGTGCTCATGGAACACACAGAAGGAGGCTTAGTAGACCCCACAAAGTATATATATTCTTGATCAGCATGACAAGCCGAGTCGATATAGCCATGTCCGTCTGTCTGTATGAACGCAAGGATCTCCGAAAGTATAAGAGCTAGAATAACCAAACTTGGTATACAGATTCTCCTGAGACCGAGAAAGGACGAGTTTGTTCATTTTTTCTGATCCCCCCCCAATCCCCCCCTATTAACGATTTTCTAAAACTCCCGTAATTCTTGGAATTTTGAACTAAAATTTGGTAGTCACATTAGGTTAGTGATTATATATCCGTATACCATACGTATACCGTATCATTATGATAGAATGATCGGAAATAAAGTTATACCCATATAACCAGGCCCAATGCACACATACATACATATGTACAAGTACACAAACACGCATAAGGCACGATTCTGATGTAAATGTAAATGTATGTATGCATGCATGGAATATTTTATATTTAATTTAGTTAATTAATTAAATTAATTAATTAAATTACTTTTTTGTGGGGTGGTACAGAGTTGAGCCTGCTCGACTTTAGCATTCCTTTCTTGTTTATATTTTAGCACAATTTTATATGAGAAATTGTGTAAAAAAAAACACTATCACTACTCAGTTTCCTTCGTCGTTAAGGGGTTTTTGGTACTTAGTAGTGTGTATTTTCATTAATACTATAATAAATAATAAAACTGATTCTATTCTTTTAAAATTTCGGATTTAAAATATTTATTCAAGAATACAAGTATTTAAGTCTGGTTGTCAATATTAGAGTCTGTTACACGATTGATCCAACAGCTTTCAACTACACATATAAAGCATTGCTCATGAGTTTTTATTTTGAAACAACGAAGAACTGATTATAAACTAACTGTCGCTCTGTCTTTGCAGTTGGCTCTGTGCAGGCTAGCTTTGAACAGATGGAACGAAAACGCAAACTTATGCACTTGCGCTTTGCCGCCGCCTTGAAGAGACGACGCACCGCACGACGCAGTGACCGGGACGAGGATAGTGTTATTGCCTACGAATCGGACTGGTTAGATGATGATGACGATGACGACGTCGAAGATAATGGCGATGATGGTGAAGGGGAAGCTCGTGAAACTGAAGCAGACGACACATCCACAAACTCATCGTCCACAGAGCAGCTATCAGAAGCGCCGAGCTCTTCGTCTGCCCTCTGTTGTATTACTGATCAGGAAACTAACAACAATAGTCAAATGACTACTAATAATAACAGCGCTGTCGCTACTAAGCCTATTAATGGACTGGACATGCCTGCGGTCTATAATGGTGAGAGCGGCACGGCCGAACCCGCCGGCAGCAGCAAATCCAAAATGTAAAGTGCTGAAGCCCTCGTGCACACGCTACCGGTGTTCCTAGTACACACACATATACCCATTTGTTACCACTATCAGCCAAAATCAAGGGACAATCACACTCGCTTTCCATATAAAAGTACAACCCAAGGTTTAAAATTGACTGGTAGATACCCTTAAATGATTTAGAGCCGTTACAATTTCATTAAAACCCACAACTATCCATATGTATAGTATATGTTTTACGTTTGATATCAAAACAGCTTTCGATAAAACAGAATATTTACTACATCTTTGATGAAGCATTTTTTGAAAAAGCGATTGCAATTCATTCAAAACTATGAAAATGTTAAGCTGTACGCCTATTATTTATTTATGATTATAATAAAAGAAATCATAATCATATAATATAAACGCTTTTTTTGATTAATTTTATTTTGTATTTAATTTTTTCTTCAATAAAATTTAAAATTTTTTCTTTTACTATAAGTATGCAAATGTAAAGTTTTGAAATACTTTTAACTTTATACAGAAAAACTTGGCTAGAAAGGCATATATTGGATATAATAAATTATTTATTGGATTGCTCATTTAATGAGATGATGCGCATTATATCAAAAGCGAGTGTTTTTCGTTCAATAATTACTATGTGGATATGGATATCAAATTATATGTTACCAAAATGCGTTCGATTGAATATTGGAACCAGCTCCTCCTCATAGGTATACCGAATTATTGTATGAAGAAACTGAAGAGCAAGAAAAACAAAAACGATAAACTGCTGGCAATCAAAGCCAAAAAACAAATAACTGACTTAGCTTGGGTAAGAAGTTTTTTCCAAAAGTAAACCTAGTTACAAATGTAAGTTCAATAAAGATTTATGAATAATATTTACAGCTAAGAAAGCAAAAATATAGTATACAAGTTCAAAACCTTAACAGAAAACTTTGTATGTTTCCTTTTGGCATTGTTTGGGCGACTCTTTTATTATTGTTTTTCCTCTTAATTATTATTTTGTTTGTGATCTGTTTAAAAGCTTATAAAAATTTATGGATACACATTAGAAAAAACTCATGAAATCGAACAGAATAATTTATTAACATTTAACTTAACTGCTGAAGCCGAAGAACAAAAATAGATGTGTGCTGTTCCTTGAATATAGATTTTTGGGAATGTGAATCTAGCTTATATTTCGAGTCCGACTTCGAAGGTTCAAGATGGATTTTAAAAGTGCGAAAATTGTATGTGATTATTTTATTTTCTTTCACACAAATATAATATCCTACTAATAATGTAAATGTAACGCTAATTATGTACGCGAGCTCGTCTTTATGTATGTTTAGGCCTAATATGCATAATTTATAGTACACTATACGTAATGCACGGCGAGTCGCCTGCTCAACAAATAGCCTCGGCATTCATGTCGCTCGGCTTGAAGGGCAACTGTAAGTCCTTGCAGCGTGCAATGACAAAGCGTTCCAATTGACTGCCGGCGCTGAAAATAAATTAAACGCTTTTATTGTCATTTTGATAAGCAAACAAGCTATTCATCTATAAACTTTCAAAGTCCCCATTTCAAAACAAGTGCCCAATATCGAAACAAGCGTCGAAGCAAAGCTACACCTTTATCATACATATAGAATAGTATAGTATCTGTACTGTATCATACATAAGACACACCTATTACAAGTGGTCTCCCATTCACCGTTATGGATTTTAAATACATTTACTCGTACTACAAAAACAGTGAAGGGTATCCAGTTATTATTATATTTTAAAAATCAGGGCATAGTTGGAATTGGAACAAAACAAAACTGTTTTTTGTGATACATGTAACATTTATAATGTGACGACAACCGATGTTTAATGAAAAATATTTATTTGGACGCTACGTTTGTGAATATATAGTAAATGGATGGATTCTTTTTTACTCACTCGTAAATCTCATTGCCCTGAACATTGTAGAGATCGCAATTTCGGAACACGAGTTGGATATCGTTCAGTAGCTCCTCATTTATCTGATAAGCTCCCATGTTTAGCTTGGACTTGACTTTGGCCAAGTCCATCGGCGACTTGATAATCTTGTGATAGTCTGGTACCTCGGAGGACAGCACTGGGCGCAGGAATGGCCAGGCGGATTTGTGCTTCATCGTCTGCTCAAGCAGATCATAAAGAGCGGCACTGTTTAGCGGCAGATTGTCGTTGGTGCGACGACCAGAGCGACGATTGTTATTATTGCTGGTACTATTGTTATTGTTATTGCTGTGACGCGTACTGGATTTTTCGGATGCTTCTCCATTCTGCATTGAAATTCGAAGCGAAGTTCGAAACGAACGTGAGCGTTTGGCATGCGGCTCATCATCGCCATCATCATCAGCATCTCCATCGGCTGCGGAATACCAAAAGCATTAGTGGTAATGATCTACTAATTTACCATAGTTAGCAATAGGTTTGAGTATAAGGAGTAAATATAATTCTTGCTTCAAGATAATTATTAGACATAGTAATATCTCGAACTTTATTTTAAAAAAAAAAACGTTAAGGCCCATACATTGCACAAACCTTTAAACTCAGTTTAACCTGTAATTGCCATGGCTTAAATAAAATAAAGAAAGATTTGCCAATCTCTTAACATACCCATATATATATGCAGATGCTTTACCTTACAATATTATCTTACCATTTTGTCTTGGGCGACGTCGCGTGTCACCACCCTTGCACTTTTTGCACACAAAGTCGGCGCGCGGCCGTCGTTTCAGCTGCTCACACTCTAGATGGTACCAATCATTACAGCGGGCACAGCACACTTCGCTGCCATCATACCAGCAAATCATGCAGATCTTCTCCTCCTCCCTAAAATGGGCGAAATGGAATTGGAATGTTTTGTTTGCATTGGTAATGATTCCAACTTACACTTCGCTTTCTTCTGCATCTTTATCGTATATTTCTTCGTTGTTCTCATCATCACCGTTGTCCGATTCTGCTACATCGGACTCATCAGCCATCTGCTCATCATCGCTGTGCGGCTCTTCTTCTGCCTCTTCATCATCCTCATCAAGTTCCTGCTCGATTTCCTTGGATTTTAACTGACGGCCACTGCGTCGTCCGGAGGCGCGCCGCTTGTGTGCAGACTTAACATTAGCTGATGATGCTTCGCTTGTATTATCGGACACATCCATTTGTTCCTCGTTGTTGTCCTCGTCGTTTTGCTCCTCGTCGGCCAATTCCTCATCCTCTTCTACAATGAATTTGCGCTTCTTTTGAGCAGCGCGCTTCTTCTGCTCCGGCTGCACTTCGTTCTTCAGGCCGAGATTTTTAACACATCGACCACAGTACCAGTTGCCGTCCGGCACTGTCCGCATTTTTGGCTTCATGCAGAACATGTGGGTGCCGCCGTTACATTCATCGCAGAGCAACATTTTTTCAGGATCGCTTCCCCGACGGCAAACAGAACAAAGTGACTTGTTTGTGGATCGCGCCCACATGATGCAATCATGAAGTATGTTCAAATGCAGAAAGACCTGCGCAAAGCTAGTACTTTCCATTAGGGAAACCTCCCACTGCTTGAGTCGGGCCTGACCGGCTCGCTGCTTTAGCTCCAGTTTCTCCTTGTTGGTTTCACGCGTCGTCACGCCATAGGGCTCTTTAAGGAAGCGTTTTTCAATGGCTTGCTCCACTTGAAGCAACGCCGACGCCAGCTTGTGTACCTGGGATTGTAACTCTTCTGATTCCAAGAGCGGCACATCATCGTCGGCACTGTCCTCCGATTCTATTTCAAGTGTTGGACCTAGTTGCTCGCCTGGATCGCGATACGGCTTGGAACCAAATGCCCGTGACACATATGGTTCGGCGCTCTCGGCTTCCAACTCACCGTCTTCCTCATCACCTCCATAGGTAGAGCCATTCTCTGAATTGACGTCCTCTTCCTGATTAGCTCCTCCTGTTTGGCGCACTCCGATGCCTATAGGACCCCACTGTAACTTGCCCTGCGGATCGTATCTGCGGTTTAGTAAATCATCGCGCCACTTTTGCATGTCCTTGACCTTAAGCCTGCCCAGGTCCCCCGTATATATATCCGATTCAAACTGTAGAATGCGATCGATAAGATGTAGCTGCATTACCTCGCTGAGATCGGTGTCATCTGGGAGGCCAAAGTTGGCCTTGCCATACTTTCGATGTGTTTCCTGGTGCATGGCATTGCGAAAGCTCTGACGCCGCTTCTCGTCCTCCAGGCTAAGCAAATCCACCGGACAATTTTTTACGTGCTGTTCTATTAGCGAGCGCAGACTGGTTAGCTCATCGCGAAGACTCGATTCACGCCAGCCTAGTGGATTAAGTGCATTGACTAATGCTTCGATTTCCTCCGGTTTGTAAATATATGCCCAACGCTGGCGACCTGCATTTCGATCATTGTGTACAATACAATTACGTTTGTCTCCGCTGCACATTAACAGCTGATATTGCGTGGGCGAATCTTCATTCTCACAAGCCGCTACATCCGTTTCTACGCCAGGGTCATCTACACTAGCTTCAGGATGTGTGCCATTGGTCAGCGAGCTGGTTGACTTGGAAAGCCCATTCACACGATGTTCCTGGTTCTCCTTGTTCTCAAGCGATTGCTTGGGAACCTCGGGTTTGCTACTACGTCGGCCTCGCTTGCGCTCGTCGCCGTAGAGCTTCAGCAGATATGTGCGCAAATTTTTTCGATTTGTGGGCAACTCCGCCAAATTACGTATATCTGCCTGGGTCTTATTTTGAGGCGGCTGATTCAAACAAATATCCATGCTGTCGGGCGGATGCTCTATAAATATGCCCGGTATGGACTCCAAAACGTAGTACTTACGATAGCAGCGATCAGAGCCCAGATATACCAAAAAATTAAACAACTGCGAGCGGAGCGAAAGTACCTGGGTCTCGTGCTTACGACGCTCCCGATCGGATAATGCAAGCAGCTCTGCGATACGCCGATTTAACTTGTCTCCAAGTGTCTTTTTCTTTTCAGCATCGCTTTTAAGCTCGTCTGTCATGCATTGCTGATTGTACTCGTTAGTCATCTTCCGCTTCTGTGAGTCTACGGCTGCCACTCTTCTGTTTTCAGCTGCCACCAGCGTGCGCAATTCTATACGCGCCTTCGCCGCCTGCTCCATGCGTTCCTCGATGACGTTGATGGTGCCCGAATAGGTGAGGATCTGGGCCATAAGGCAGCGTATGACGCGCATAATGTCGACAAAGCTGAACTGATAGATAGAGTAATTCTTGAGCGCGCGCAGGATATGCGCATGTTGCATTCGTAACTCTAGACCAGGATCTTCGCGTGAGGAATAGCCATTTCGGTACATAACCCTCCACTTTTCGGCGCGCTCCGTTACGGCAGCGCCAGATGACAGTAAATGCAATCGCAACACTTCGCTCAGTGTCAGCGCATCCAGTGGCAGCTCGTTGATCTTAAAAGAAAAATGTCGCTCGGCATAAAAGTGACTGCGTGTCGCATCACTCATACTGCGGTAGGGTTCCCGATCCTTTGGCCCGTATCCGATTAAATATTTGTGAGGGCACTCCTCCTCCTCCTCCTTTTGCAGGTCAAATACGGTGCCCAGCAAAATTAGTAGAATGTCCGATAGTGGACCTGCCACTTCGCGCGCTGTCAATGCTCGTGACATTTCATAGAAACTGAGATTTTGTCGGAATACCTCGATTCCGGAGAGCAATCCCGCGTACGAGTGCATGAATTCGCGCAGCATGAAACCGTCTCCAAGAAGCTGGACAGGGACGTGTGTGATAATAGGCCTGTATATGGGGAGCAGGCGCTGATCGCTACGCTCTAAATCATCCGTTTTTGTTAGCAGATTGTTACATTCTGTTTCGACACGCTCTAACAGCTGTGCCTTCTTCTCCGCCTTCTGACGTTCTTTTTCGGCTAGTTTCTCTATCTTCTCCAGACGCATGCGCTCCATCTCAGCCTGCAGCGATTTGGCCTTGGCGGCCTTCTCATTCTTTTGTTGCTCCACCGTGGACGGTTCTTCTTTGTTAGCTTCGTCACCCTTGACCAAATATTTATTAAGTGTCGCCTGCTTCTTTGTGTCCTTGCTGGGCGCTTGATCCGGCCGTTTGATTTTCGCAGGTGAGTAGCGCGGCATCTTCCCTATGAAAATACTTGAGAATGTGATTTTCCGGTCTGTCACGTACTGCTTGTAGACGTCTGGCTTGGGCCGCAGGATTCCATCCACTCGGGTCACATTGTTTTTGATGTACATTTGCAAGTTCTCGTTGGTGAACTCCATGCGCAGACGGCGCAATTGTTCGAAAGGCACGGTAATCTCTGTACTCTCATCTCCTTTGACCTCACGTAGGCGATATTCTAGGTCTTCGGTATTTTCATATACTCCGTTTGCGGGTTCAGGTGCGTTTTTCGGTGGTTTTATACCCACTACAATATATGATATGTTCTTTTTGTTCAGCGTCGTGACCTCCTCATTTAGAAAGTAACGCTTGCGTAAAAACTTAGTCACAATCAGATGGAGCGTTTTTACGGCCGATTGGCGGGCATGCTCAATTACCAACAGTGTGGGCGCCCGCAGGCTCTGCTTAAACTGTTCCATCTTCTTACGAGCGACACGCTCGCTTTTCAAAGCCTCTTCATAAGTGAGACTATCGCGTCCAGTGGCTTCGCACTGCCAGACCGTTGAATTTATGACCATAACGTGACGAAAGTAGTCTCTATAATGGAAAAAATTGTGTATTGATATTATTATTTAGTAATTTATAACAATATAAAAGGTTTCTATATATTTAATTCAAAACTAAATTTTAACGGAATCTATGTATATATATTTAAAACACAATGCCACTTTTCGTTGTAATTTTATAACTCAAAAACGGGCTCACCTATCCAAACCAAATGCTTAGGATTTGTTTGGACTATTTAGTAGATGGTTTATGTGAAATTTGCACAAAATCGGTCGAGTGGTTCTTCATTTATCACATTTCTTGTAACAAATGAATTCAATAAATGGCGGATCATTTTTTAATAGGGATTTTGCTGTAAAATTGAAACTTTTTTCAGATAGGGATTGTGGTGTGAATTTGGAGGAATCATGTTTTTCACATGGCCAACTTTATATTGACTGTTCCAGAGTCGGAACCCCCAGCCGTTTGTTTATTCATGCTCAAAATGGAATAACAAAAAATATTTTTTATCCAAATGTTTTGGATTAAGTTTTAAAATAGCTAGCAATAAATAAAATATTTTGCGTGCCGCCTAATTGATTGATTAATATTGAGGGATGTCTTGATAGCATAGGCGAATAGAACAAGTAGAGAAGCTAATTTCGGATGTCCCGAGTTTGAAATACTCTGTACATCTGCGTGCACTGCTTGATGATATATACATATATAGCCATAACTTTCTGTTAAAACGAAAAATCAGTGATTGCGAAGGGAGGGATGTAAATTCCAAAATATACATAAGGCATCTGGGACTAAAATTTGGTATCCCTAGGTCTTATAGTCTCAGAGATATAAGCGATTATACGAATGGAAAATCGGGAAATCCCCCATTGGGGGAAGTGGGGAAAATCCAAAAAATAAAACAATGAATGACCTTCGTGCAGTCCTGATTTAAATCCAATTGAGCATTAATGGAATGACATTAAAAAAGTCATTGCTCAATAGAACAAAAATAATTTAGATATGTACATACATTGTTCAAAGAAATCAAGAAAGTCGACAGGGGTGTTTGAGTTTTATCTTTTCTGTTGTGTACATTTTCGATCTTTCCAATTACATAGTTGATTCAGTCAAAACTCATACTCAAAAATAAAATATTTTAGCCACTGACGTACACCTTAAGCTGTTTATGTTAAATGTATATGTCTAACATATATATTTTGTGGAAACATTTCTGAGATCATAACGAATTTTACAAAAAAAAAAAAAAGTAAGTAGGGAAGCTAAAGTCAGTTGTCCCGACTGTGAAATACTCTGAAATACTATGTATGTTTAGAATAATTATAGAAATTTAAAAAATTAAGAAAATTAAAAAAAAAAACATTTGATCGATTTTACCTCTCTCGGTATTCGAACTCATGTAAAGGGCGTATAATTGCACATTTACATAGGAGTTGCGTCTGTGTGAATGTATGCATGCCTATGTGTGTCTATTCGTGTCTGTGTGAGCATGTTGAGTCAAAATCCCAAGAATTACGGGAGTTATGGAAAATCACGGATTGCGTGGGAAAGGGGGGTGGAGGGGAATTTAAAATACACATTTTCTGGGTATTCACATAAGGCATAAGGACTAAAATTTAGTGTCCCTAGCTCTAATAGTCTCCGAGATATAGGCGATTATACGAACGGCGATACGGAAAACCCCATAAGAGGGAAGTGGGGAGGAAAATCGAAAACATAAAACAAACATGTACAACGTACACATATAAGGCATCTTTGTGCAAAATTTGGTGTATCTAGCTTTTATAGTCTCTGAGATCCAGGAGCTCATACGGACGGACAGACTGACAGATAGGGCTAGATCGACTCGTATTTTCATGCTGATCAAGAATATATATACTTAGTGGGGTCTGCCACGCCTCCTTCTGCCTGTTACATTTTTCACCTACCGCAAACCTAATATACTTTTGTACATTTAATGTACAGAGTATACAAATTAAGAAAAACACAAAAAATTAAATAAAGTCGTCCTTTTTCGGACCTAGGATAATCTGGATGCCAACTTTGGTTATTCCAGCTTTTATAGTTTCTGAGATCCTTGCGTTCATCGATCGTTCTAGATCGATTCGTCTAGTCTCGCTGATTAAGAATATATATACTTTATGAGGTCGGTCATGCTTCCTTCTGCCTGTTGCATACTTTGCACAGACCTAATATACCCTTTTTACCCTACGGGTACAGGGTATAAAAAGCTATATTTTGCTATCAACTTTTTATATTATCTGTGAATTTTTCTCTAAAATAAAAAGTTGATTGTTGACAGTGACGGTAATATTTATTTCACAGTATAAGAAGTTTCTCCTTCTTCTTGGTTTTTAGATGTGGGACAACTTAGATTAAAAAAAATAAATAAAATGAAATGCCAGAACCGCACTAAATTATCCAGGGCACGTTGGATTATTTTTGAATTGTACAGTTTATAAGTTTATATTTCAAACTAGAATCCCTTACTGCACGCGCGCCATCATTAGGGTGGCAACGCCAAATACAGCAGCTGTGAATCTATTCGCGCGCTTTCGCCCTCACAAATGCACAAACACACACAGCGCCATGCGTTAGCATGTGTCGCTTTGTTGTATACTTTAGCACAGCATTTGCTTTGCCATTATTATACATCTTGTGCTTTGCAATAAGGCGAAGTGGGATGACAGACGGGTGACAGCCAATGCGACGACAGCGCTTGATGCTATTGGAAAATGTGGAGCCGTAGCCTTGGTGCCGCTCCTTTGTACTTACTCGTAGTCGCGAAATATGCGTTTTGTAATGTAGCAGCAGAAGACCAAATCATTATCGTGGAATGTTTCATGTTTGCTCTCCGATTGATTTAGATCAAATCCTTCCCGCTTACAAATCGGCATTTTAATGCTTGTTTTATTTTAATTTCCAAAACACTTCAATGTCTGTTGTTGTTATGATGCTGCCTCTTTGGAGGGAAATCTATGTTGATTGTTTCCGATGGAAATCAAATTGCAGAGCAGTGCAATTCGTTTGCCAACGTGCCTACGTACACAATTTAATGTTAATGACAACAGTGAACTCTTTTATGGTATTTTTGCACGTTTTAACAATTTCCTAGGCTTAATATTTGTTATTTTCTACCGCCGTAAATTTTTTCGAGCGCGCCTTGCAAATTATCTTCTTTGCCTAGTGATGTCACAAGCCATCGATGTATAAAATATCTATATATTTGTATTGGCGATATATCGGTATTCGATGTGTTTATCTACCATGTCAGTGCTGCCAAAATAACTAAAAATTTCTGGAACTCACGAAATAATGATCATAAGTGAATGTTTGTCCATACCAATAGTATATTGAAAGGTAATTTATTTGTTAAGATGTAGTCAAAAAAAAACATATTTGAGAGTAGTCAAATTAATATATTTTATTTACTACAGCTTTTATATGTATGTATGTATGTATACGATTTTAAAATTAAGAAATATTTATAGTAAATGAACGAAAGAATTCTCCCATCATTGTTGATATCGATATCGATAACACCCCACGTTCATTGCATCAGTGCTTCTGCTCGCCGCCAAATAATTGCAGGCGTAGTGTAGCCCTGGTCGAATAAAGCAAGAAAGCAAAAAGGAAGAAAAGAACCACATTCAATAGGGAAAAATTCAAAATTGTATTGAAAACTGTATTGGAAAGGTGGTGTAGCTTGTTGCAATGTACTCGACACCATGTAAAATGCAACAAATTAGTAGATGCGTATGACGACGGTCTTTTCTCGGTTCTGTTAAACGAAAGGTAGGCGATTTACACACAGACACATCTGCACACTTACACACATCTGCAACAGTGCTACGATTTTTATGGTGGCAAAAACTGTACGCGCATCGGTATACTTGGTGGGGCAGCGGGCGAAATTGTGTACAAATATTTTTAATGTGTCGTTTTGTTTCTGCTTTTGTATATTGCAGTGCTTCAATGTCTGGCTAAGTGCGTCTCCGATAAAAATATTGCTACAGATTCGCTGTTTAGTATAATTTATTTCTCGTTAACCTTTGCGTATCGTGGTTTTATTGGTCGCTGCTAGTTATTGTGTGCGATCACGTCGCCACTAGGAAATAAAACTAATGATAATGGTACGTAGACGAGCACGGCCAGCCAAAGATGTAGCTGCGGTGGCCAACCCAATTCCGAACGCAGTGGTTCTAAATGGCGATAATGTCTCCGACATGGTGCTCCATGGCGGAGCTATAGCTAACCCGGCCATTGTGAGTGCTAACATATTGGATGAGCAATATTTTGCAAGTCCCAAGCGAAAAGATTGCCGCCTTACAAAAACCAATGAAAATCTCAAAAACGATGCGGCGGCCACTGTGAGTGAGCACACGACCACCAACATCACCACCAATAATAACGATGGCAGTTACAACAAAAGCAAAGCAACTACAAAGTCTGAACGCGCTGGCAGCGCTGGCCGTACAATAGGTAAGTTTGGCATTTTTAGGTTAACTTGGCGCGAATTTTTGTACGTACATATGTAAGCAAACACGATTTTACCCACAGGCGTGCCCTTGGCTACGCGCTCACAAACACGCACCATCGAGAATTTCTTCAAAGCCAATGCTGCCGCAAAAAATGCAAACAAAATGACTACAAACAGCCAACCAACTGAAGAGCAAAAGACAATAGCGTTAAACACAACAGAAAACACTACAGTAACAACTTCATCATCCCATCAACAAGCCGATAATGAGGTCGAAAAACAAGAAGAGGAGCTGCATGAAACATACTCGATTGCCTCCTCCATCTCGCCACGGCATCAGGATATTTTCGAAGAGGAGAAAGTGGAACTAGAGGCAGATATAAGCTCCTCGCAGTGCACACTACTTAAGACCAATGGTACTGATAGCGTTGACTTTCAGACTCATCGTTCAACGCTTCGTGACAGTCACTCCTCTACCCAAAGCAACAGCAGCGCCACCACGGATAATATATTCTTGCAGGAGCCGGTGCTAACTCTAGACATTGATCGCACACCAAGCAAGGCATCCAGCATCAAAATCAATCGCAGCTTTGAACTAGCTACCGCTGTTTTTTCTTCACCGCCTTCCGCTCTATCCGCATGTATGCTTAATGGTCGGTTCAATCAAATTGTCTCACTCAATGGTATATGCGAGCCTCCTGCAGTCAATTTTGGCGCTGTTCCGGTGCTCAACGCATTTGCCTTTGAATTAGACCAACACGACAGCAGTTCCTGCGACAGTGGTGTCGTAACCACCACAAAATTAAATACGACCAATATTGATTCGCCTGCTGGCAATGCACGTCACCGCAAACCGGCAACGCCGCATCGCATACTCTGCCCATCGCCGATCAAATCAATGCCGCGTTCTCACGATCCCATTCATATGCATTCAGGGTCTCTAAAAATGGCCTCCAAGGGCGATCCATTGTCGCCACGTAAGTCGCCACGCAAACTAGCCACTGCTGATAACGCAGTGTCTAAGTCGCGACGAAGACTGAATCAGCCAATGCCGCAAGCGCCTTACCAATCCACTAGTACGCAGAAAACGCAAATCAACTTGGGTGAAGTGATTGTTGTGCACGATGACGATCAGGAGCCCGAGGAGATAGACGATGACGACGATGTGCATGTCCTGCTCAAAGCTAGTGAGGAAATGGAGAATTTGAACAAAGCACGATCGGCTAACAAGGTAAAGACCGTGATAAAGCCGGTGGCGCCGAAAAAAGGGAACGCCAAGGGTGCCAAAAGCAAGACATACGGTGGCACCATGTCACAGCCACTTGCAGCCACTAACAGAAATCGTGAGCTCACAGATTTCTTTCCTGTTCGTCGCAGTGTACGCAAAACAAAAAGCGCTGTCAAGGAGGAAATGATGCGCAATCTTGAACAGGCCGTTCTTGAAGAGCGTGCTGAGGGTCTGCTGGTGCGCCACTTTGAGGGCAAGGGTCGCGGCGTTGTAGCCGATCGCCACTTCAAGCGCAATGAGTTTGTCATCGAATATGTGGGCGATCTTATACCCATTACTGAAGCTTCTGAACGCGAACGCCGCTATGCGTTGGACGAGAATACCGGCTGCTATATGTATTACTTCAAGCATAAAAACCAGCAATATTGCATCGATGCCACTGTAGACACTGGCAAGTTGGGACGACTCATTAACCACTCACGCAATGGAAATCTTATGACAAAGGTGGTGGTCATCAAGCAGCGACCGCATTTGGTGCTCCTAGCGAAGGATGACATTGAGCCCGGCGAGGAACTGACCTATGACTACGGCGATCGCTCCAAGGAAGCGTTGCTGCATCACCCCTGGCTGGCGTTTTGAGTGAGGCATTATAAAAAAATACACGGCGTTGTAATAACAAAGATCATTACGTAATTACTAGTTTAAAATTGTTCTTCTAATTTAAGTACACTTAAAAACTGTTAGTGCAAAATATCATAAATGATAGCGTTTTCACTCTGCATATTTTTGGATGTGTTACCGGGTTTTTGTTTCTAAATTTTTGTATTGTGTATAAAAAAATATCAAGACAGAAATGAAAAAACTAAAAGTAATATTGCATTGACATATTGATATTGTTAAACATTTACATATTTGAAGCTCATAACAATGAAGTTAATGCGGAGACATTACCATTTATTCATTCACATTTATGAAGATCGTACAATATTTATATAGATATTTATATTAGATACATGTGTAATTGCTACTATTATGCTATTTACTGCCATAGTGCTATACCCCCACGCACCTCGCTTTTACATATTGACTAGAATAAACAACAACAAAAAACACCACTCATCTCCAACAAACGCCAAGTTTGACAAAGAACCTCAGACTATTTGGTATTTTTCAAAATCATTGGGGCCCTACTTCATAAACTCTTGAATCACACAATCCAATCAAACAATTGTCCATTATGTGTGTAATCTGACCGAATCCTAAATATTAATAGCATAGCTAAATCCCAATTGGAAATGTAATAGATATGTATTGAGGTTTAAGCTGGTTTCAATTCATCTTATAAAGCAGTCACCTCCATGATCCATAAAGGTGTCTGTAACGCCTTAAATTTTATACCATGTACTTGGAAGTTGCTGTCGCAGGACTTGTTCTAGCCACATATTGCTTTTTTCCCCAAGAAATCGAATCCAGTCATTACCTTAAACGCACGCTTCCTTCCCATCTAACTATTCCCGTCCCTCAAACAGAATATTATTTTTTGATGAAAGTGCAAAAATGTATAGGAAATTTTGTTCAAATTATCTTAAACTTTGATTTGTTTTGTAATTATTTTTATTATACTCCACGCATATTTAATATATAGTATAATCAATATTTTAAGTACACATTTTTTAATTTACATAAATTAAGCGGCAACCATTTTATCATGTTGTTTTTATCATAAATATCCAATAAACAGAACAATTCAAACACTACTCTTACTCGCTCTCAATCATGTCCGGAGCATTAATCTTAATACGTACATATGTATATAGTTTGTTATTTTTCAGACACACGAAAAAACTGCATAAAATAAGAAGCGAAAAAATAAATAAACTAACGCATGAAGAAAAAACCAGTAGCACAGCTTTTTTGGAATCTTGGAGATCATGACGAGCTACACGCATGGAATGAACTACGACATTATAAAACAAATAATTTTTTACTACATGTAAATTTACTTATCACTAATCTAAGTACATACATGCATTGGGATTTGTGGCTATAGGCACAAAAATATGTACCAATTGGTTCAGAGTATTCGGAATTGCTGGCACTTGAAATTTATTGCCATTTCAAAAACCTCTTCTCAAGAGAGGAGGCTTGGTTATAGATAGACATTTTCAGGGGTTTTCCGAATTATTATTGCAAGTTATCTACGATATATTTTCTGTGATCAACAACTAAACAATGTTTCTATAACATAATGGCTACCTCAATAACGTTCCAGCTTAAAAGTTAAAATAACTCTCAATTTGTATTGGGGTTAGTAACATATCTATTTTGTCGAATTATAAAATTTGTCATAGTTATGAGCTGCATAAATATTTGAAAATCCATACTCTAGTAAAATGAAAAATACCAAAGTTTTACCGTTTGTGGTTGTTGAAAAATATGCATGAATTATTGTGTTAGTACAATAATACAATCCTTGCAACATTTAAAGATATAAAGCATATCTTCTTCCTTTAAACCAATGAATGAAATAATTTGAAAATATTTACAGATCTAACATACATGGGGGCTTTAATTTCAAATGTCTCTACAGCAACACCAAATTCAGAAAGGTTGAATATTGCGAAGGTTATTAATAGTTTAAGTACACGGAGAAAGCAACCGATAAGATAGACGGAAATGTACATTTGGAAATAGTCTAAGAATGAAGTGGGATATAGGAGTTGGTACCAGCTTAGACTTACAATATTAACAATTCTCATGGCTGAAACAAATATACATACAACAATAACAATAATGATAACTGGAACGACAACAACACCAACAGCACTACGTCGGTTAAGTTTGTTTTACAATTCTGTTTAACAACTCTGTTTAATGCTAGACGGATTCATAATACTGACTGTCCTCACTCTCCCTCACTGATCACTGCGTCACAGCCACATTTGCGGCAGCAACACTCTCTAGGTTAACACGCTGGCCTCCACAAGACCGGTGGTATTTTTCAGTGAATTTGGTCGCTGCTGATCGACTTTCGTCTGCCTCTGCCCATGGCCATGAGAACGTAACTGCTTCACACTGCTGAATATTTGTCATTTCTTGGCACTAAAACTATTCTTGGGCAAGGTATTCCTGAAGGCGCCCGCATTGTTGGTTTGTAGTGTGGGCGCCACAAAACTAAGATCGGGAATGAGAGAGATTCGTGGCGCCACTTTCGCATTACCTATTTGAAAGTGTTGACGCTGTTGCAATTGTAATTGTTGTTGCTGCTGCTGGTGGTGCTGATGATGTTGCTGTTGATAGGTGGTTGCGGGAATCACTGGCGTAGGAGCAGGCGCCGTGGAAAAATCATGCATTATATGGATTTGTTGCGGTGTCGCTCCCGCATTATTGTTGCTGCTGTTACTACTCGTACTATTATTGTTATTGTTGTAGCATTGATATTTATGCACCAGATTGCTGTGAGTGGGCTGCTGCTGGTGTTGCTGTTGTGATTGGTAAAGGCTGAGTGGATTGTTGTAGAAGTTGGCGCTCTGCCAGGCACCGGAATTGAATTGAGGCGTAGATAGTGGTGTACTGGACACAAAGTCCGACCAATCTTCGTCTTTGCTGATGGCTGTTTTAGTAGAGGTTGTGGATCCTTGTTGGCGATGTGGTGTCCCTTGTTGTTTCTTCGAACCAGAAAGATTGTTGTTATTACTATGCTGCTGCTGCTGCTGCTGTACCGACACCGGTACTGGTACTGACACAAACTCGGACCAATCATCATCCTCTACGTAATGTTGTGCCACCGTCGCGCTTATAGTCGGTGCTTGCGCTTGCCGTTGTGTCGGCAACGCTTGTGATTGCGGAAACAGTTCCTCGATGCGCGCTAGCTCCTCTGCATTGATGCTGGCGAGCGAGCTGTCGCCCCACTCGATGGTGGGTTTGGCCAGAGGAATGGCCTGAGGAAGCAGGATGGCCGGACTGAGAATCATCTGTTCGCCGAAGGTGGGCGTACCATTGCGAGGCGTAGTGGTCTTCAGTTGATGTGGCGCGGGCGCTGGCATTGACTGAAAATCGGAGAAGTCATCATCCTCGGTCCTGGACCCTGAATACGCCAAGGGAAACTGCTTAACAGCTGACATATCGAAAGCTGACGCCTCATCATTCAACTTAATGGGCGAGTCAAGGCCAAAGGGCGGCGGCTTGTACTCCACATCACGGTATTCCTTCTTCACAACCGTCTCATCAATAATAATGCCCGCCGAGGCGATCTCATAATCAAAATCAACAGGTGCAAGTGTTGTCGTCTTGGCTACTGCCGTATCCGACTTAGAGGGCGTGTAGATGTGTGTCTCCTTAAGTGGCACCGCATAGCTGGAGGTGGTCACAATCTCATTGAGCAGTGCGTTCGGTTGGTTGGCTCTCATATCAAGTTGCTGGTGCTGCTCTGGTTGTTGCAGCTGATACTGCTCCTCACCACCGTCGAGGCGGAGGCCATCGCTGTCTGTTGGTAGAGTAATCGATATCGTTGCTCCTGCTGTTGTAGTAGGAAATGCTGTTGGCGCTGCTGCGACGTCATCGTCGTCGTTGCCTGCAGGTGTGACGCTTGGTTTACTGCTGTCTGCGCTGTTGTCATTCTGTCCGATTGGATCGACGTCTTCAGCATCGAACTTTTGCCCATAAAACGTGCCAGGCTGCGTTTCAGTTTTGCGCGATTGTGCTGCGGTTGAGTCGGACCCTGTGAAGAAGCAGAGAGTTGGATTTAGTCGATTGTGATGGTTGGATATGATATGAGGAATTGCGTTTCTTTTGCGCCAACTATATATGTATAATTGTGTTTATGTATATTAATACAGGATGAGTTTTTAATATAAGCTCCATGCATAGCTTTTGTAATAGATTTTCCGAGGGTTCGGGCTCACGCATGATCTTTTTATTCCTATATGTGGTAGAAAAGTAAAAACTACGCAGGCAAACACACGCACACAAACATATACGAAGCTTGAAAACAGTAAACTTAGGTAACCAAATCCATGTACTTCTAAATTTCTTCAGGATTCGCATAATGCATACTCGTATACATATAAACTAGAAACAGTCAAGACATACGCATAGCCAACAAAACTTACTAAGGTCCGGCAAGGCATCGTGAGCAGTGAGATTTGTGTTAGTTGTTATTGTTGTTAGGTGGTGACGGTTTTGTTTAACATTATTATCATTGTTGTTTTTGTTGATGGTGGCAAAATGTGAATCAAAATCGTGCACAACATTGGTATTGCATTGGTTGTTATTATTGTTTGTTTCATTTGTTGATGAGCAAGTTCCGTTTTTGTTGTTGCAGTGGTTGTTGGTGTTAGCAGTGGTTACAGAAGTGATTATTGTGTTCACATTATCATACAAGTCCATTATAGGCATGTGAATTGCGACGTTTGTTTCCGATTTAATATTGTTGTTGTTGCAGCCATTGTTGTTGTTTTTGTTGGTGTTGTGGAAGTAGTTAGAGGTAACAAGATTTATTTTATCAGCATTAGCCACCATCGTAAGTTGGTCTAGTTGTTCCAATTGTAAAGTCTGTACATGTGATTCTAAATACAATTTATCGTAATGATAAATTTCAGTTGAAAAATGTGGGTAAAGAACTGTTAAGTTGTTTTTTTTTTCTTCAGTTGGCATTGATAGATAATCAAAAGAAAACCTCAAGTTCGTTAACTTAAACTTAAGACAGCCAATAAATAAACCAAAGGTATTCCTGAAGACGCTTAAGAATCGAAATAGTTTCTGGATGTTGGCCGTGATCGAATAATTGAAAAATGTTTGCCATTCATTGAATATCTATCTATGTGTGTGTGTATACGTAATACATATAGGTATTAGCAAATGTTACTTCTTCATTGCATTATTCAAATAAAGAAGAAAAATATAAATCTTCAGCATATGAATGGATCGCCTTTTGATTAAAGGACATGTTATAAATGCATTTTGATTAGTCTGGAAAGCTCTCATTTGGGAAAGGAACTACTGACAACAGCTTATCAGGTTTTTGTTTATAATTTTTTATATATTATTTCCCTATGTCGACAATCAATGCTGGTTGACATAAATATAAATAAATGAATAAATAAAAAACACATTGATATACGATTTATTATTTGTGACTACATTTTAGTTATTTTGTCACTAATCCAGAACTTTTCTCCCAAAACTAAAGGAAAACGATCTAATTAATCTCAAAAAGGATGCCTCTGGACTAAGTTAGTCAGTTGGGTAACATATTTGGGTATCAGAAATGAATACAAGCCTTAATTACTATATTAATTTTGTTTTCCTTAAACGCAGTCGTTACCAGTCAAGCGTTTGCGGGAATACCCTTGAAAACAAGCAGCAGGTCAATGAAAGCGAAAGCGTGTAAGAGAAACCAAAGATTAGAAAACATATAAAAAGCGAAGGAACGGAATCGGAAGCGACAGGCTGTGGCAATAATTTTGGTTTACGAAAATCGTGTGAGTGTAGCTGTTAATTTGCGGCAACTAAATTAGGTCTGGACAGAGTCACGGCGGCCAATGTAAAGTTTTGAACTTACCCTCCATGGTTTGTGTGACATCAATTGTTGTGGCTGTTGGTGACCAAACGAGTGAGGAAGTGGTCGCAACACTTGCACTGTCTAAAGTCGGCATTGCGGTATCGGCACTCAAAGGCTTAAGCGGCTTCAGAGGATCAAAGCTTAAATTGGTGGCAAATCGCGGCATCGATGCATTCCATTTCTCGCCAAAGAGCTAAATGGAATGAAGATTGTCAGAGGTAGTAGTAAACCATTTGCTTGTTTGACTTACAATATTCCTTGAGTCTATGGCCAGTGCACGCACCAAAGCGTGCCGTATTTCGGAGTTACTCCATTGATAGTCTAGGGCATGCGCCTGTTCAATAGAGCTGAACTGTAAGGTTTGCACATGCGATAGGGGCATGTGACTTTTGCTCTGTACTGAAGAATGAGACTCTGGAGTGGGAAACATCGCATTCAGCACAGGCTTGACGCGTTCATTAATGCTTAAATGTGCTGTTGGCGGCGGAGGCGGTGGGGGCACACTTATCGAGGCATCTGCGATGACGGCGGGCGGTACGACAACTGAATAAAGTGATGTCGCTGAGAATTCACCGAAATCATCACTATCATCTCCATTGGTCGCAGTTGGTGGCATTGCTGGACTTGCAAATTCCTGAAAATCGTCGAAGCCATCATCGAGTGCTTGGTGCAACTGTGTTTCAGAATTCTTATTAAGCGTTATGGCAGGCTCGATTGCTGACTTTTCTGTTAGAGCAGAGAAGTCCGTAAAGTCGCCAAAATCATCTTCATCTTCTTCATTAACAGCCGTATTAATATGAGTAGGTGCATCGGATAATGATGAAGTTGGGGCTATGTTAGACGCATCCAACTGTTTTACATTGTCCTCTGGTATATCACAGGTTTCAGCCTGATTGCCCCTTTTTTCAGACACTATTATATGTGTTTCCTTTTCCTTGTTATCACATACGTTTATTTGAGACATCTGGGGGCAATCAATTGCGGGCATTCCCACAATTTCTATGGCAAAAAAGTCCTCAGCACCTTCGCTTATGAACAATTCTTTGGGTTTCTTTGTCGAACACTCTTCATCGCTGTCATCTGAAACGTCTTCCAGTGTCACTTGGTGACAAAAGACATTCCCTTTGGTCAATTGCTTTTCAGGTTGAAGCTGCGTCGTTGGTACGGCGAAAGCTTCCCCTGTTACCGGGGAGAGTGTCGACGAGGCCGAAATACTTTCATTTGAGTAGAGGCTTAAGCTGTCAAGTTTTAACGAAGGCAGCTGATCGTGCGTGTTCAGCTCCCCCTCTTCTTCCTCATCTAGTTCTTGAGCAGTCAAAGGTGGTGGCGTTGTCGGGGCCAGTTGCGTAAAATCGTCAAATTCGTGGGGAATTGTGGGTAACGGCAGCGTTTTGTCACTGCCTTTCACTTGGAAGTTGAATGCCTGCACGGTTTGATTAGTATCTGCTGCAGTTTTGCTACTTTGATCAACGTCAAAAGCAGGTGATGTCGTTATCCCATTGTTTATAATTGCTGTCTTATCATCTGATGTAGGCTCCTCCGGGTGCGATTGAAGGCGTGGCAGTGGCGGCGCTGAAAAATTCTACACCTTTAACAGCTTCCATCAATAGATAACAATAGACTATTACCTCTTATGCTGAGCTCGCCTTCGTGGGTTTCGGTGACTAAGTCAAAGTCGCAGAATTCGTCACCGTCATCTAAATCGTCCTCACCAAAATCAATTGGAGGCGGGGTACTACTCAGTGGCGGAGGCGGCACGTTCACCATTTTCATGCAAATAAGTAGATGCTACCTTCCTAAAGGTTAAAAAACTGGTAAAGTTTTTGTTCTTGTGAGTGCTAATTTGGCCAACAGCAGCTGCAAGCACTTCAGGAATAGTCGTCGTTGTGACGTCGTCTTTGCTCAGTTGGTGTATGTATGTGAATGTGTATATATTGCATATGTATTCTACTCAAGGTCTGTGCTGGAATTTTACTATTTGCATCAAAAACCCGTTATATTTTCGCTGTTTGCGTTTTATGTGCACATGGAAGGTGCCAAAAATTAAATAATTTAGAATTTTCACCCGCACCAGCTAAATTTTGGGAAATACTCCATTATTTCATCAAAACAAATTTTCTCTCTGCTCGATTGGTGGAGGCTCAACTTTGTCATTCACAACGCATAACAAAGAATTAGTGTTGAAAAATCCCGGGTCAAAATAGCAACCACTGATTTTGTAATCTCCGTTTATTTTTATTGTACAAAGTAACATCGTATGTATTACTAAACAATTGTAAGAACCCATTTCAATGTAAAATTATCCCCACTAAACTACACATTCGTGTAGATAACAAAGCGAATTGGGACAACAGTGAGCATATCGATATCTTCTTAACCGATTGTACGCTTGTCACTTTGACAGCTGTTTTAAGGTTATACTATTTGGCTAAAGTTTACTGGGTACGCTTGATAGGGAGTAATTTATTTTAAATCGGCAATACTTTTTCTTAACGAAAAAGTTCCTACTGGCTGTTAAGATACTTGAAGAACACGAGAGTATTACTTTTCGTAACTTTTATAACTGAAATCCTTTTTTCTTACAGTATTCGCCTTGACCATTACATAACTGCTTGGTAACCATGTCTCAACCTCCAGTTCGTGTGTCTCCGCTTATCAAATTCGGCAGATGGTCGTTGCTCCTGGTCGGCATTGCTTATGGCGCAGCTCATCAGAGCCGGTTATCCAAGAAGGAGGAGAAGGTGCGTGCTATTGAGGCGCAACAGAAAGCAGTTCGTGATGCCAAGATAGCCGAGGAGAAGAAGCGTAGTGCCGACGCCGAGGCGAAGGCTTTGGCTGAACTTTCAAAGCCAACTCCCAAGTAGACTCTTTAAACCAAACCACGTACACATGTTATACATAATTCGTTAAGTCCAGAACAGCAACGGCTCCAGCAGCAAACAAAATTATTTAATGTTCTAGCCGAAAGAACACACATCAATAGCAGCTAAGGACAGTGGTATCATATGCTTTCAGTCTTAAACAGTCGTTCTTGTGTGTTTTCCTACAAGTTTCTTTAAAATGTATGCTAGTGCAAACTAAATGAATGACACTACATTATGTAAAACATGCAAAAATGTGTTTTTATTCGCGTTATAATACATATGCCTGTTCATCCACAAACTCGTATTTAAATAATATGGATATAAAATGATTTATTAGTAAACACAAATGTGTTGACGAGAATACAGGAATTCCGATGACTCTTTAAAATATTGGCCCCTTTTATTAAATCAATAAATATTTCGCTACCAAGGTGACAATTATGAAGGTGTTTCAACACCAAAGGTGCTTGGCACACGCAAGGCACCATCTGCATGCAATTCCTAAAGTAGTCGAATGTCGACGCCTACAAGTATAGCGATGACAAACTTTTTGGATCAATTGCCTAAGCATATAAGAGAAATGGCAGAACGTGGTAAGAACCATAAGTGTTTTATCTATATGTCTCTTAAAGGCATCTAATGCGATTTAAATACTTCGCACCCAATTGGTAGTGAATGTGCTGTCACCGGAAGTTATGTTGACTACGCCTAGGATTAAATTTCTGGACACCCGTACTAAGGAGTTGGACTCGTTGGTGCACAAATGCACACCGGAGGATGTGCGCGTGCTGAAGGAAGCAGCGGCCAAGTGGTTGGCCGAGACCCTAGTTTCGAGTGAGTTAAGCATAGCGAATCAGTATAAGGATCTAATGATCAAAGCCTTTTTACCTGCCGTAGATGGTTCCCTCTTTAGACCGCTCGTTTTTACTAAATTGTCACGACTGACCTTTGGCTGTGCTGCACTTGACCGCTGCACAGGAGGAGGAGTTATAACACGTGGCATTACGGAAATTTGCGGACCTGCCGGTGTAGGCAAAACACAGCTTCTATTGCAATTATCACTGTGTGTCCAACTGCCAGTCAGTCTCGGAGGGCTTGGGAAGGGTGTCGCCTACATATGTACTGAGCATCTGTTTCCCTCCCGCCGTTTGCTACAGATCTCAAAAGCCTTTGAGAAACGCCACCATGACAAGAAGTTTAATTATTTGGGCAACATTTACATCGAACAATTGTACGACAATGTGAGTAAGCGCATTTTCGCTTTCAGGTAAAAATTTATCGCTTTACTCGTCAATTCGTTTTATGCTTAATCAATATGAATTTCTTTCGAAATTTTTACTTAAATCTCCATTTGATCCGTCAATGCTAGTTTGTAGCTTTTTGTTCAATTTATTGAAATAACTGTAATTTCAGTCCTCTCCTTTTCGATTCGATTTTCTTCAGTTTATTTATAAGCGAATTATTTAATAGAAATTATTTAATAGAAATTAAAGTGATTATAATTGATAATCGACGGTCGAATACCCTAAATGGGTTTACAAGCCCTGACATTTTAATGTTCATAGTTCTGTCTCCAATAATGTTTTTTTTTTTTTGCATTGCAGGAATTACTGCTGGAATGTGTGCTTCAACGGCTTCCGCGCTTGTTGCAAAAGTATGACATTGGATTGATTATTATCGACTCGGTAGCCACAGTTTTTCGGCTTTACCCAGACATAAGTCAGCGAGCTCGTGACATGCGTCGTCTGGCGAACGCGCTGCTTAGCTATGCGGAAAAGTACAACCTGGCGGTCATTTGCGTCAATAAGTTGGAGTCGCTACCCTGTCTGGCTGCTGGAAAGCTCCAAGATGTGCCACCCCTGGTCTTGCACTGGGCGCACCTTGGACGCACGCGCATGCTGATCACCAAAGTGCCTAAACAGCGAATAGTTGCGAATGAGCTACTGACCGTGCGGAAGCTCGAGATAATGTATTCGCCGGAGACGCCAAATGCATTCGCAGAGTTTTTGATCACCATTGAGGGTGTCATCGACGTGCCACCACCCGAATTGGAAATGCCAGGCAGGAAAATACATCGTGATTAATATTTTGTATTTTGTTGTTTATTTCTTTAGTTTAAAATGTGCACCGACTGCTGCGCCTTCTCCTTATTTAGTTTTTGTACATTCACAATAAATATTTTAGTTAATTGCATTTTACATGTATAGTTTATAGCTTTATAGTTTTAGCTTCGACTGCTTTTGGTTGTTGATGTTTTTAAAGATGTACTTGTAGTTTAAATTTCAAATTGTAAAATTAATTTTGTAATAAACATGTCTCTACATTAATTTTGTTGTTGCTGCTTGTTTTTGCATTTACGCGACCTCTCGTATACTTTATCACATGAAATTTTCGAAAGTTGAAATTGTTTCGATAATATACTCGTATAGTAAATATAGCAGAAACAAATAAATGCGATCCCTATGGCAACATTTACAAAGCCTAAAACTTAAAGGTAAGCAGTAATGGGTAGATGTAAATATTTTAAATAAATTACATAAATGCCTAAAATTAAAAGATACATTAAAATAACTCCCAAACATCAGTGCAACGGATGAATGGTTTTAGATACATATGTATACTCCTCGTAGCATTAAAACGGACTCTAGGACATTACTTCTGACCCTTTTCCGTTGGCGTACTGTGAGCAATATTCGACTTTTTGGCACATTTTGTAATTTTACTGGGGGATGAGGACTTGGCTTAGGCATCGCGCATTACCACATCGTGAGACTCGGTGGCGGCAGTCATTAGGTTGTCCTTTGGCTCATTATTTGGGCTTTGCACATTTTCTTCCGATTCACATTCACTTTTGTCTGGAGCCTCTGACTGCGATCTAGCTCCAACAGATATTTTAGATGCGGCCAAGTCGCTTTCGAAATCCTTTTGGGCTAGCAAAGGAGCTACCGACGGTGTACTTCGCCCATTGTCGTTTTGTTGCTGCTGCTGTTTGGCAAATGCTGCGGCGGCGTGTACGCGTTGCAATCGCAGCTGGAGCTCACGGTGCTGAGGCGACTCCTCTAATTTAATTTCCAGCTTCTCAGTCTGCTCCAGTGGAGCTGCCGGTTCCACAGTCAAGGGTATCGCGTGCTGATGTAGCCGCTGATGATGATGATGCGCGGTCTCACCCGTATTGTTGTTGTTGTTTATGTGAACATGACGCTTTTCAACGACTCTGTTGCCAGTGCTGTCGGATGCGCTGGCGTTTGCTGCTGTGCCGTTTGCAGTTTTTGCCACCTTTTCGAGCACTGCATTCAATTGTTTTTTAATCTTTGTGGCCGTTTGTTTTACGTTTGCTTTGATGTCATTGCTGTTGTTGTGGCCTGCAGCTAGCATATTGTTGTTGTTGCTACTGTTGTTGGTGCTGCGTGTTTTTTCTGTGTGTCCATTTGACGCCTTCTTTATAGCATTGTCCGTATTGTTAACTGTGGAAAGAGCGGGAGCTGCACTAGTTGGATCATTGCCATTAATGCTAGTGTTGCTGTTGTTGTTGTTGTTGCTGCCTGGCTTTGGCGTTGAGTCCGACGCTCCTGCTGTCGGTTTGTTTGCATTGGCCGATTTGTGCTCAGCAGCCTCATTATTTGTGACATTATCCTGTTTTTTCCATTTTGTGCGACGGTTTTGAAACCATATTTTAACCTGAAAGAGAAAAGTTGCAAATTAGTCCACGAAAATGTAATAATAATACACAATAAGACCGGGGGAAATGTGAAGTAGGGAAAGCTGCATTCAAAATATAAACAAGTAAAAAATCTAAAGTCGGGTGTCCCGACTTTGAAATACTCTGTACATATGTTTACAATAATTATAGAAAAAAATAAGAAAATTTAAAAAAATTTGATCGATTTTACCTTTCTCGGATTTCGAACTCACGTAAAGGGTATATAATTGCACATATACAAAGCAATTGCGTCTATGTGAGTGTATGTATGTTTATGTGCGTCTATTTGTGTCTGTGTTAGCATTTTCGCAGTCAACTAAACAGCAACATCAACAACAGCCGTGGGCAGCGCTGCAGCAGCGCTGCAGCAGCAAATATATTTATGGCTATAACTTCTTGTTAAATCGGTCTATCATAGTGAAACTTGACACACGGACACATAATAACCAACTGGTGGTATTTCCAAAATTTTAGTTCGAAATTCCAAGAATTACGGGAGTTAGAGAAAATCGCATTTGCAAGGGAGAGGGGGGAGGGAGAGAAATTCCAAAATATACATTTTCTGCGTATTCACACAAGGCATCTGGGACTAAAATTGGTGTTCCTAGGTCTTATAGTCTCCGAGATATAGGCGATTATAGGAATGGAAAATCGGGAAAACCCCCATAGGGGGGAAGTGGGGGGGAAAATCAAAAAAATAAAACAAACTCGTATAGCGTACATACATAAGGCATCTTTGTGCAAAATTTTGTGTCTCTAGCTCTTATAGTCTCTGAGATCTAGGTGATCATTCGGACGGACAGACGGACAGACAGACAGACAGGGCTAAATCGATTCGTCTTGTCATGCTGATCAAGAATATATATACTTTGTGGGGTCTACCACGCCTCCTTCTGCCTGTTACATTTTTCAGCTCGCGCAAACCTAATATACTCTTGTACATTTCATGTACAGAGTATAAAAAGAAAGGAATGTTTAAGTCGAGCGAGCTCAACTCTTAAATACCCTGTACCTTCCACCAAAAAGTAAAAAATGAAAAAAAAAATTATTTTTATTAATTTTAAAAAATTATATTATTTAAATAATTTTATTAAATTAAATATAAATTATTCAATACATATGTATATACAGAAGTGGAGACATGTTCATGTACAGTTTCAGAATCGTGTCTCTGCGTGTTTATACACGTATATGTGTGTATGCAGCACAAAGTTGAACCAAACCAGCAACAACAAAAGAACTGCAGGCAGGAGCTATAGAAAAAAAAAGAATTGCGGGGAAATGGGAGGTGTACCAAAAATTCGTCCTTTCTCGGACTTAGGAGAATCTAGATACCAAATTTGGTTATTCCAGTTCTTATATTTTCTGAGATCCTTGAGATCACACAGACAGACGGACATGTCTAGATCGATTTCTTTCGTCACGCTGATTCAGAAAGGACGAGTTGATTTTATTTTTTGGAATTATCCCCCTTCACCCGCAACAAAAATTCATAAATACCGTCCACATTTCAAAAGCTACATTAACCAAACTTTGCACGCATAATTTGTTTACAAATATCTGATTTTGTTTCATCTAAATCGGTAAATTCTAATAAAAGTTATTAGTTCGCTCTTCTTCTTCATTTTTGCTTTTGCTAGAGGCGAAAGTTTTTGCTCGACTGTAGCGTTCTCTCTTGTTATTTGTAATGTTGTTAGTTAAGCATTCTTGTCAGGTTTAAATGAAGACAGATGAGTACTAGATGAATTTTATTGTTCAACTTAAGAAATTTCGAGAGGTACGCAAAATCACTGACAATCGAGCAGTGCATCCTGGCCTTTCGATTAAGCAATAACTGCAATATGTTGCAGTTCGTATATAAAAACGAATTAAGAATTCTTATGCTTAGTAATAATGTTTTTCGTTTTATTTCTAGAAACCCTTAAACTGGCTCTGGCAGCCTATAACATACTTAAGTTTTTACCATGTACAGAGACGTACTGCTAGAATTGACGGATGTCCAGCTGTCAAAAGTGCGTGCAACCAATCCTCCTGCTGGAGCACAAAATATTTGCCTCCCCTATTCTGTGCTCATGTAGACGAGTACGAGTGAAGAAAATTAAATGATGGCTAAATAAATGAAAAATCTATTTAAATCGCGCACATAATTAGTATTTCAACAGCCTCTCTCCACACATACACACACACTCACATATACACACTTGAAGCGGGTAAATGACATGCTCATTTTGGCTGGGACTGAAAAATTCTGAAATGAACATGAAAACGTCTGGTACAATTTCCACATATTTGTTGAATTTTGTTTCGACCACGAGGAGATTGGTGCTTGATGTGGCAGAGGAAACGCTTAAGTACACAAATTCCCATATTGAAAATCAATTAATTGATTGCTAAATTTGAGTATTCCGATGGCTGAACGTAGAAAACAACCTCTCAACTGTGTGCTACATCAATAAGAGCTCACTTGTCGATGGATTGATGAATGCGCAATTGTTTGTTTTATCGACGAAGAAGATGAATTATGAGCATCACCTTCAGCCCCTTCGCTTTTAGGGTATGGATTATGGAATATTGTACACACATGTATGGTTAATTTACTCATAATTATTATTAGGCAAAGCAGCTTATGCAATTGGCAATTACTCATCAGCTATGATTGTACTGCCCGCGTCTGCATTCGTTGATTGTTAATAAACAATTGAGGTTTCTGTTTACTCTACGAACAGCCTTTATGATCTTCACAGCTTCTGGGAAAGAGTATTATTCTCGAGTATTATCTCTATCTCTAGTCACATGCCTTTAATTCATAGTGCTTAGATATTGCAGACCCCATATTGTTATAGTACAATTATTGTTTGCTTTTCTAATATTATGCAAGCTAAACAGTCAGTTTTATATCCTGTAATCAATCATGTTGGACTAACATTATTGTTCATTAAGATATTTTAACCGAACTTGTTATTATACTCTGTACATGAAATGTACAGAAGTATATTAGGTTTGCGGGAGCTGAAAAATGTAACAGGTAGAAGGAGGCGTGGCAGACCCCACAAAGTATATATATTCTTGATCAGCATGACGAGACGAGTCGATCTAGCCCTGTCTGTCTGTCTGTCCGTCTGTCCGTCCGTATGAACACCTGGATCTCAGAGATTATAAGAGATAGAGACACCAAATTTTGCACAAAGATGCCTTATGTGTGCATTCTATACGAGTTTGTTTTATTTTTTTGATTTTCCCCCCCACTTGCCCCCTATGGGGGTTTTCCCGATTTTCCATTCGTATAATCGCCTATATCTCGGAGACTATAAGACCTAGGAACACCAAATTTTAGTCCCATATGCCTTGTGTGAATACGCAGAAAATGCATATTTTGGAATTTCCCTCTCTCCTCCCTCTACCCCGCAAATTGTAACTCCCGTAATTCTTGGAATTTCGAAATACCCCCAGTTGGTTATTATGTGTCCGTATGCCAAGTTTCACTATGATACACCGATTCAACAAGAAGTTATAGCCATAAATATATTTGCTGCTGCAGCGCTGCTCAAGCGCTGCCCGCGGCTGTTGTTGATGTTGCTGTTTGGTTGACTGCGAAAATGCTTACACAGACACGAATAGATGCGCATAGGCATACATACACTCACACAGACGCAATTGCTATGTAAATGTGCAATTATAAACCCTTTACGTGAGTTTTTTAAAATTTTCTCAATTTTTTTATTTTCTATAATTATTGTAAACATATGTACAGAGCAAGGGCGTTCGCTGGGGGGGCGGGGGGGGGTGTCAGGGGGGGGCGTATCCCCCCCTAGAAAAAATTTTTCCATATAAAGTCGACCACACGTTCATTATTATGACGCACTATTTCGCCTTAAGATGGATCTGCGTTGGATTTGTTGAAGTTTTTTCATCGATCATATGCATAAATTATTTTTTAAATGCATCGGGCATTATTTAATCAAAATTTAATTTAATTTTTTTGCCCCCCCCTTTGGTAAAAGCTGGTTACGCCCTTGGTACAGAGTATTTCAAAGTCGGGACTTTAGCTTTTTACTTGTTTTTAGAAGAAGGAATACGTATTATACACGCATTTTGTTCCACACATTATGTTCTTTTTTACGCCGATCTCGACATGTATGCCCGACAGGATTTCGGAAAAGATACATTATCAGCTGTTATTGGAAGGGTATATAATATTTGGCACGTTCACGGAGGTGTTTGTTTTCTTTAACTACATGGGCTATTTTTATTGGTTTTATAATGCGGGCACTTGGTCGCATGCTGCTAACATTTAATTGTTGATTTATTCAGAGCTTGTATAAAAGTAACTATTATATTGAAATATTGCTACATGCTTGATTTTAATGATGCATCGCATTAAGAAAGAGCTCATTACTGATTAGGCGAATAGTTTCATGCGCTGGGGTGGTATTAATTGCAATTTCAAGATTTCACTTCTTTGTTGTTTCGCACTTAAGCGCCATAAGTGCATTCGAAATTGAATTCCGCAGGCATTTCCCTATAAAGTCTTCAAAATGGAGTGGGGAATTGGATGTGTATGTGTGTGTGTGTGTGTCGAAGAGAGGAAGTACTCGTAAGTTGTCTGCTACTTTGCTTTCACCCTCCCATGTGATACAGTGACAATAAAATTCCTGTATTTTTCAGGGAGTAAGGGCTCGCCGACAAAAACTGTGAGAAATGAATTATAGAATAGAATAAAGCAAATGTGTGAAAATAGCCTGAAAGCACTAAATAATCAAAATCACTGAATTTATCTTCCAACGTATGCAGATAGGCCTATGACAGCACTCCACCCCACTAAGTGTTACTTCACTTACGTGTTTTAAAGTACATACTTGTACATACATATGTCTTGTATGTATGCTAACAGTCGGAAGTAGAGATTCTTAATTAGCCTCTAAATAAGTTATTCGTTTGGCATGTCGAGTGCTATATAGAAGCTTAAAGCCGTCTGCCT